TTGAGCAGCTTCATGACGCTGCTGAGGTGAGGCTTGCCGTCACCGTATGACTGGCGACGCGCGATTGAAGCAGCCGCCTCGAGCATGGTCTTCGAGGCGTCGTAGCCGAGAGCCTGAGCGAAGACATCCGTGCCGTTGAGCCCGTTGAAAACGAAGCCGGTATCGCCGAAGTGAGCGATGCCCGAGTTGCTCGCATCGAAGACTCCGATCTAGATGGTATAAGCGAATAGTCTCACGACGCCTGAATAGGTCACATACCTTCGTAGGAGGGAACTCAGCCGAGGGCGACAGGCCTCGCTTGAGTGACAGCGAGAAGTCCGTCGGAGGCGCCGCGGGCGGCTGCCTCTCGCGGCCTTTGCCGCGCTGGCGACGGCCCTTGAACGAAGAACCGGCTGCAGCGTTGCCCTCGATGCCGCTCATGGCGTCTGCACTACCGAAGGTGTCGCCGCTGCGACGGATCTTCAACTACAAACAATAATCAGCACGCAGAAGTAACTCCAGCCGGGCGAGTACTCACCGACTGTACGGCGTCATCAGCCAGTTGCTGAATGACTTCGAGGTCGCGGAAGTAGTCGTTGGGCGACTCGTCAACGGCGAGAATGTTGAGAGCGAAAATGCAGAGAGTGGAGCAGCGGGACATGATGAGATAATGACCGCGGCAGCCCGAGTCGGATACAATGACCTACGCGTTCGTGAGCAACCGAATCAGGCATGTACAAGAAGAAACGCACCCGTGCATCCCCAAGGCGGGGATGTATAGTCCGATCCACGCTCTGCCTCAGCGCCTTGAGCAGCGGGTCGCTCTTCATGTCGGCGCGGCTGTCTGCGAGCTGCGTCGTATACTGGCGAAGCTTGTTGAAATCGAGGCTGAGAATCGCGCGGATGGCAGACGCGACCTCGGCAGTGGGCTCCGAGGGCAGCGCCTGAATCTGTTTCTCGACGTTGATGTGACCGAAGGACGACATTGACAAGCAGGGATGGAAAGAGCGTAGCGAAGTTGGGTTGCGGGAGCCGATTCAGGCCCGCCTCCTTTTATAGGCACGACCTTACGGTCTGCTCAGAGTGCCGGAAGTGAAGAGAGGTTGCGATAGCGCTGCCCTCCACCTATTGCCGACGGCGAGGACGCCGCTTATTTTGGTGTGGGGGAGATGGAGCAGTCGCAAGCCCCTAAAATTTGTCGATTTTTCCATTTTGAACCACGACTATGGAATGGCAGCACGGCCTGGTTCAGCGGAAGCAAACAAGACGAACCACGGCGATTGCCGAGCAGGCCACCTGACTACCACGTGCCGCACAAGCGAACTGAGGTTGACGCGCCGCGAGAGAACGAGAAGCTACCCACAGATAAATGAGAACTTTTTGTCATATACCAGACTGATAGTAAACCAAGAAGTCAATTGTGGACGATGCTAAGAGCTACTCTAACCCAAGAAAAGAGACAAGAAAGAAAGAAAAGAGAATAAAAAGACGAAGCCCATCTACTCCGGGTGGTACGCATAGTTCCTGGAAGAAAGGCGTAAGCGCGCCTGAATGGCAAGCACGAACTCGTACGTACCGATCACATACGCGTTCAGTCCTCCTCCATCACCCCAGCATGGGGGAACCGCAACATCACCTCTACCTCGAGGAGATCCGATGAAGCGGGGGACTGAGTGGCGTCCATCGAGGGCGACACCGGAGTCGAAGATGTCGGCGAATCCAGCTCGTCGAGGACGGCCGTCGGCGCATTGGGAGGGGACGATGAAGTCGAAGAGACCGCGGTATCGTCCAGAGTGTCAATCACGGGGAGGACCGGCGACAAAGGGGTTTCGGGACCCGTCGACATCGAAGACCCCGCAAAAAGTAAGCTAGCGGGATCGGACTCCGGTGGCGTGTCGGTGCCGACCGCGGGCTGGAGCACCCCGTCCTGAGAGGGCGGGGAGACTGGCTCCATCGGGAAGGAATCTCTGCCATGCACGTAGTCGTAGCCCAGTAGCGCTGGGATGAACGACCGAGTGTCCGGGGAGATGGGTAAACCATGACGGGTGAAGTACAGCACTTCGAAGAAGTGGCTATTGACGAATATGAGCGATTCCGCGCTGGGTGTCGAAGGGGCAGGCGGCATGAAGGGTTGTGGCAGCTCAGGGAGCGCCATGGCGTCAGAGAGACAAGGCGAGAGCCAGCCTCCCGGAGTGAGCTCGCCCACCGAGCTGAGTGGCGAACTAGCGGCACTGTCCGAAACGGAAGATGAATCGAAAGTGGCCTCACGGAGGTCTGCGGGCCCAACCGTGTAGTCGCCAAGAGGAGTCCAGTCGTGTCTCGAGTGAAGTGGGGGCGTACGCAGCGGCGAAGCCATCGGTGGCCTAGGCGACGACGACTCTGGAGTAACCGACACCTGGAAGAGGAGGGCGTCGGAAATAGGGGACGCACGCGTTGAGGAGAGCGGCGCTGGAACGCTAGCCGGCGACGGAGGCAGAGAGGCGGCGGGAGAAGGCGCACGTGAGGATGGCGGCGAGGTCACGACAAGCCGCTGTCTTCCGCGCGGCTGCACGTCCAAATCGAAGCCGAGGGCCTTTGCGGCGTCGCGCTGCTCGCGACGTTCCATCATCGCCAGAAACGCGGGCGGAATAACCGGAACGCGCACGTCCGGGCGTCGGTAGGAGGTCGGACACTCGACCGACAACTTGGCGATGCGGCGACTGTAACGCTCCCCGTCTGGCGAAGGCTAGAACGGGAGAAACAAAGTCAGAAAACTATGGAATACACAAGCGAGAAGGGAACGTACCGGTTCCTGAGGCAAGTGCGAGGAGCGCGTGGCCTCGGGCAGCTCCACTCCGTTCTTGCGCGCCTGACGTTGCCGAGTCGCGAAGCCCAGCTCCCAAGGAGTGGCAGGGCGACAGCGGTCCAGTTGGACGTCGCCATACCCACACCGCAGAGCCTCGTCGCGCACCCAAGTGTCGGGGAGGAACTCTGCGTCCCAAAGCGATTCGAGCTGCAAGAAGAGAAGTCAGAAATAACGCGAGAAGTGAACAAAGGTTGTGTACTTACCGCCTCGCGGTTGGCACGTTCCGTGCTAGCCCGACGGAACTCGAGGGAACCGGTGGTCTCCAGGGCCGGCAGATCAATATCGACGGCGTTTATGAGAAATCTGGAAACGCATAGTCAGCCAGGGACTCTTCAAGGAGAGAAGAAAGCAAGAAAAGTGACTTACCCGGGCCGGGGAAAGTCGTGATTGCTATACCACTTAGGGCCCGGCCTGGCGAGGCGGATGACATCCCAAATAAAGTATGCCGCCGCCGCCCATGGTGGTATTGGATCGAGGAAGTTGACGTCGTCGTCGGGCTCGCCCAAGACGAGCACACTCATGAACCGACCCTACACGGATTTAGTTCGAGAAAATCGCGTGAAGCGGGAGTGAAGGGACTTACTAGCAGTTGAGAGGTCGACTTGGCGAGAGCCTCGTTGCGTATGAAGAGCAAACACAAGTTGCGAAGAGTAGGCGCCTTGTCGGCGCCTAACCTCGCGCGAATCGGTCCCGTGATCGCTTGGAAGCGACCAGCGTACGCTTGAGGGCCCTGGCGCGCTTCGGGGTGGGGAGCTTCTGACTTTGAAGGCATCTAGAGGCCTGAATCAGCGGCAGAACGCGACGTCCGCGCGATGAACGTACCAGGATGACGGTTAGAGACAAAAATTTAGAACTCGAACATGCACGATGCGAGCTTAAGTTACGTTGCCGGCGCTTCGGCCCGGCCACAAGAGTTCGAATCCAGCAGAAACCCGACCTGCAGGCAACATTGGGGCAGCCATTTCAACAGACTGCGTCGCGCAGTCGACTCGGTAGTGCTTGCCCTACGAGTAACAACGCCGAATCACTCTACTAGCCATTTGAAATGACCGAGGACGGTCAAGATTATGGTGTGGGGGAGATGATACGCCGGGGCTAAGAAAATCGCGTTTTATAAGGGGAAATTAAGCAATATGAAGCGGATCGCCGGCAAGCAATCAGGGCTATGAAATAGCAAGCTACTACTGTACAGGGAGCTTAGCCTAGATGGTACCAAAGGTGCTGGTGCAAGAGACTGTCAGCCTGTCCAGCTTCTATAAGCGGGTACTATAAGAGAAACCGGTTAGCGGGCTACCCTGAGGGCCACTAGGAGCTCCGAGGCACCTGACCGCCATGTCTGCGCGCCTTAGATGACATCCTTTGGATCCCTGAAAGGGCTGAGTGGGATGCAGTCGCTCTAAGACCGCCACTCACGGCTATAACATGCTTTAGCAGCGCCGGAATCTCGTATAGGAATATGTCGCACCCATTCAGGCAGTCTCTGCTAGCTACCTAAGGGAAGTCTGCCAAGGGAATCTTTCCCGAAGCAAAGCCTGTTGCCGGTGCCGCACGCGCGTCACCTGACCGTGTAACTCGAACCGTGACGCGGTTCGGACTTTGCCGAAACCAACTCGCACCGGCGCGACGCTTCCTCCGCGACGCGCGCTCGGTTTGCGGCCCCACCACGCGTGCCTCGATACACCTCGGCGAGCGGAGAATTCGACTGCGGACTCGTGCGGTCCCCAGGAGAAACCGCGCGCTCCCTAGGCGGATAAGATCCATATCTCGGTATCTCGACTCTCTGGCGCCTCTTCGACACCGGCAATCTTCCAACCGGCTGACAGTATCGTCCTAAGCCCGGTATCAGCGCTCCGGCGCTCGCGATAGGCAGGAATTGGGCGGGATTTGCAGGGGATGGCGCGATATGAGGGAATTATTGGGAGGAGATAGGAGAAGTGCCGCGGCGAGGCGTCGGGCTGACCTCGGAGGGGCGAACGTTCAAATACCAGACTGTAGGATGGATTCAGGGACTTTTCGGACCCCGAGAAGCCCCAGTACAGCGCACCGCTAGAATCATAAGCTTAACCAGCATTTGACCGTCTGATCAGCCTTTGGGCAACTAAGCACCTGAATATCTCGTCGTAACCTTCGTATAACGCTTCCCAAGCGCCTGCGAAAGCTTTGAGCACAGACCCTCTCAGTAACCGCGACTCCCAGAGCACGGAACCTATTATTTCTCCAGTAGACTAGTTACTCCCAAGCAATACAAAAACCCGGACTCGCTGCGTCTCTGACCGGTGATTGACCATTCTACTGTGTGCTTGTTGTGTGTGGTTGAGGCCTGAGTCGATCAGAGGTCTTTCGAGACGTACGATCCCATTAGCGAGAGCGCGTCGGGACACCGTAGTACGCTTTTTGGCGGCAAAGGTCGGCTCGTCAAGCTGCCTCATAGCGATAGTCTGCGTCCGGATGAGGGCAAGGAGCAAGGAAGACGAGCGCAAGTACTTACAGTGGAGATTGTATCGTCGATGAGAGTGATGGACCTGAGTACGAGCACGAGCTCAGACGAGGTGCTGTTGTGGGCATTGTCCTGCTTCACGCAGATAGCGAAGCCAACGCGCACGATGTCGCCTGGGCGGAAGCGCGCCGGTGTAATGGCCGTCTGTCTGGTGACGAGTCAGTCACGAGAAAGGGAAGGACGAAGGAGGGAAGTACAGGCGACCAGGCGGGACTCACTTAAAAACGCCTTCGTCGGACTCAAACCCTTCTAAGTACTGGACAACGTTGTCCTCGGTGTGGAGACAACCATCCGCTTGCATGCGATTAAGATCGTCAAATGGATCGACGTGCTTCGGGAACGAGATCTTCTCCTTGCCTTTAGCGTCATCGCCGGTTTCGAAGTAGGGGTTGGCGACAAGGAAATTGTCGACGCAGACACGCTCGGAGGGAAAGACCGTGGATTTCGCGACGTGGCGGTCGAGGATGACGCAGCCATACTTGGCAGCCTGTACCGCCTTCACCATAGTGTTCGCTCCGGCGCCGTGCAGAGAGACGGATTGGCGGAACCCCTTGAAGACGGAGTCGCGGAAAGGGGCATATTTCCTTTCGTGAGAGTCAGAATGGAGCATTGAGACAGCTTATAGACGAACACGCGTACCTCTTAGGCTTGAAGGGAGGTAGCAGCTTTTGAGTGAGTACTCCGACCGTGTAGAGCGTGAGCTCTTCTTCCACGTCGGCGTCTTCGTCATGGGAGTGGAGTCTAAAGGTAGTGTAGGTCGCTGATTCATCAGGCTTGACTCGAAGACTGAGTTCCTATACGAAGTCATGAGGAGGGGGACGGGTCGCTGGGGGAGCGCTCACCTCGAAGTCGTCTGTGACGTACAGGCTGTTAGGCGGCAGGTGATCTGTTTGTCCGTGTTTGATCATAAAGGCGTCGATGATGGCGCCTGTGAAGTTCAACTCAGCCGCGAGTCACTGCCATAGCTCTTTGCTCACTCACGCGCCGCTGCTACGTCGAACTCCTTGAGGTTTTCCATGACTGGGGGATGAGGCGGACGATCGGTATCCGACTGTCTGCGCGTTCGTCTTAAGGGAATTTGGCCGGCGGTCGCCAGCCCTTGCCGACCGATTCTGCTTCCGCTTGACTGAAATTCGGACTCGGCGTTCTGGATACAGTCCCCAACGTATCGTCAGAGTGTGTCCCCCCTGTGTAGTCTTCCGGCCATAGGTCACGGCGCAGGAAAGCGGGTAAGCTGATGTCGCTTTCTGTTGTTTCTCACCTCCCGGGCATACAGGTCGCAATTTTGCGAACGGGCAAGTGCGCTACTTGGAAGCTCATACGCTGCCCAGCCGACTGGTACCCGTATAACGATCAAGACCGCGTGCGACCGCATCTTCAAGGAACGACGAACATGCTGTCGAGGAGCGCGTCCGACTGGACGAGAATTCTGTCATCGGATGTCCATACGCCCAGGTAAATTTTGGCCGAATCGGGTGAAAGTTTGGACCTTCACTTCGACCCCTAAACGCGATAGCCACCTCGCTACGAGGTGACCGGGCGGTCCGCCCGCATCGACCTTCAACCAGGCGCGACAAATCGGGCAATAATTTGACCATAGCCCCCCTGTCGTTATCGCTGGGCAGAGGGCATTCGGATGTTTGCGGGTACGCACTTTCTTCCTCCTTAAAGGCGCTTCCCCAGTACTTAGAATTCTCGTCGGTTTTGCCGTCTTTACTCCCGCCTTCTTGCCCACCTCGATAGCTCTCACGCGCCATCATACCCTCCCCCCGTCCCAACTCGATATCTTCAACCAGAACAATCGCAGTTATGACTCAGTGCGTTCTCGTCGTATGCGTATACATTGCCAAGTCTGACGACTCCAACAGGCTTCCCATCCCCCCTCCTTTCGCTGCAATGACTCCGGAGCAGATGCAGGCGATGTTCGCCTTCTTCATGCAAAATCAGGCCACTGCTCTGTGTGTACCGTGCGATCGACCCCACTCTGTATGCTGACTACTCGTTCACTCGCAGCGCTGCTGCTAGTCCATCCCCTCAAGGAAATGTCGGGCCGCCCTCTGCGCCGCAGTGAGTTTACAACATGGTTCCATCGTCGGCTCCACTGATTCATTGACTCGTAATTTAGGGAGGCGCCTGCGCACGACGATGAGGTTGAAGGGGGGCCGGTCGATAGGTGCGCGAGTATAATCAGTTTTGCTCATTCACACTGACCCGCTGCCAGTCATACCGCCACGGCTCAGGCGCCCCCGACTCCTACCAAGACGCCCCCTCGGCGCAAGACCGTCGCGTACGCAGATCATTCCCTGTCCCTTTCATTGTCCTGATTGGCCGACCAGCGCAACGCCCGCGACCCCTCGTGTGCCCGTCAACACGACTTCAGTGATCGGCAATCTACCCAAGTCAGCGGCCTCGACGCCGTCATCCAAAATGGCGCAACTCACGCTCGATGGCCGCAAGTAAGCGTTGGCCTTTCTTCGCATCCCCGGTTCTTACAATTGTTTAGGTTGTCGGCAACGCCGCCCACGGACGGTAGACGTCGCGTCGCAATGTCTGCCTCCACCCGCAAGGGACCGATTCCTACGGGTCATGATCCCCAGTAAGCATCCGACTGAGTATGTAGCGATTTTAGATCGCTGATTCAAATGACCAGGCTGGTCTTTGAGGACATTTTCAGCGACAACGCCTTTGAGCGCGACCCTGGCGCCGCGGATTCCGCAGATGACAATGCCAAGGTGGACGACGGCGATGAGTGAGCATCCTGCGACATCACGGCACAATGTCTATCGCGCTAACGTAGCTTTCAGGTCTGATCCCTTCGAAGGGTTTCCTGAGATCGTCACCGTGCCTACCACCGAGCGCGCCGATGACGGGGATGATGCCGCGGTCAATGAGTGCGTACTCATCACATGGGAACCGCAGACGCGCTGAGCTCACGTACTATCCAGCACTCCAAAGCCGACGGGAACAAGGCGCAAGCGGAATGAGTGTGTACTTTTTCGCGTGAATGACAGTCCACTGATCAGGTACAGTCCTACGACTCCGAGGTGGATGAGCACCCGTCGTACGAGGACCAGGTGAGTCTGATGTCGTACAGCCTTCTTCTCGGCTGACGTGCGTTCTGCAGCTCTCAGTCTAGCCCGCCAGCTGTTCAAACCAGCCCCAAGAAGAAGGCGAGGGTCGCATCGCCGACGGGCAGCCCGGTACCCAGTCCCACCGTGTCCAAGATAGCGGTTGGCGAGGGCATGGCCTCCCCTTTCGAGTCCCCGAGCCAGGACACGTTGGCGTCGGACGTCGAAGCCTTGAAGTGAAGTGTCGGACTTACGCCTTGTCGCCATGTACTGACCGCCTTCTAGGCGTTTGCTAGCTTCAGCACGACAAGGCGTCAAGATCCCAGCGTCAGTGCATATGTTCTTGCTCATTGCTCCTGTTTCCTGACGCATTCCCGAAGTCTTGCCCCGCTGCTGGAGGAGGCGAAGGCTGCGGAGCTACTCGATCTGGAAGCCCTTTGCGCGAGTGGCGACGAGGATGACGAAGACGAGCACGGCGATCTCAAGGGCTTCGTCGTTGGGGACGACGTTGTTGAGTACGATGAATCGGCGCCTTCGTTGCCGGACGACGACGCACCCCAGCCTCCTCCCCGGTGAGTTACTCTCCTGCCTCCAATACCTTGTGCTCACTCTGTACAGTAAAAGGTTGTATCGACGTCAGGGAGCGGATGACCCCGCTGAAGACCAGTGAGTACTCTTGCATCGGATATCTGATTCGTCGCTGACCTCCACAGATCTTCGGAGGTGGAGATCGTTCCGACGTGAGTGGTGTTTTGTAGACCATCTGCCTTCGTCTGACGCAGTTGAAGACCTAACAAAGGCAAGAGCCGTGCAGCCCCGCCCCCTCCGCCTCCGCCTCCTCCGCCGTCGAGGCCTATTCCTGGGCCGTCTGGCGAACGTAGGTCCCGCAACGCGGTCGAAGTGAGTAAAGGGACGTGCCGACAAAGTGTGCTTTTGCTAATCCATCCCAAGTACGCATGGCAGACCGCGAAGATTAAGCTCAGCGCGGCGCCGCGAGGTCTTCACCCTGGATCGACCGCTCTTGATCACGGTCTGAGCGTTTGCGAGCCCTTGTACGTACGGGTGTTTATTGGCGTTTTCATTAGCTAACTAAGCTTGCAGGGACATCAGTCCGCCTGCCGAGCTGTTCAGCTGGATTCCCTTCCTGGGCGACAAGATGAAGGAAATCGGCTATGGCGAGAACGTGAAGCCGGTTCCTGGGTTCGTCTTTAACTCATATGCTGTACTATAGACGTTGTCGCTCATCTATAAACCAGTGACGGCGCTCTGTTGCTCTCCGACTACACCGACGATGGATGGTGCACGCCCCCTCTCGACATTGTTATCGCAGCGGAGACCCACGTCCATGTTCCGTGCGTACATATGCGCTTTTCATACCGTGCTCTAGCTGACGATCCTACGTAGAAACCTCCTTCGAGCGCTTATGTTCCGTCGCCACGGGCCGTACATCAACGAGTCTCAGGTTGACCCTGACGACATCGACGCCGTCGAAGTCTCGAGCGTCGGTGCTGCGGTGAAGCGATACAAGTTCATGGTCAAGGAGACTCGGGCTCCCGCCGTGTCGCTCACCGTTGGCATCGTCAGGTACTCGCGACTCGATAATCCTACGTCAGGTCCCCATCCTGTGTGCTACATCAACGTGACGTCGCTCGAGGGCGACTTCGATCGTAAGGTCGGGCTGCAGTGCATGAAGTTCGGCCAGCGTGAGCTGTCGTGCGTGTCCTTCAACAACGCGGTCAGGATGACGACTCTGCCCGTCTTTGATCGTCCCTCTGGTGAGTGTATCACTTTGCATACGCGATTCGTACACTCACATGCGCACAGTTGCCGGGCCCACTGGAAAGTCGAAGCCCAGTACCTCCATCCGTCGCGGCAAGAGCAGCGGTCAGACCACCCGCCGGGGTGCGAACTTCGAGTTATCTACAAACGACGTTGGTGAGTACCTTCATACGACATGCATCGTGCACCATCTGACAAGATTCAGTGCCCGTTCTCGACGCCCGTAAGATGAGTCTGCCCGAGGATATGTCAATCTGGCACACGGCGCTACCACCCTTCGAGGGTCCTATTCCCAAGGACGCTGCGGCGATTGTGGCCCACACCACAAACATGTGGGTTGGTAATCGCTCCAAGACTGCCCCGTCTGGCACGACGTACAACGTGCAGTACAACTTGCTTTACATCATCATCGTCGGCGAGCTCCCTGCTGGCCTTGTCTAGAGTATATTCCATTATACCGCCCATTCTCCCATTCGTATGCCTTCCCTCTATGGTACCTGCGCGCCTATGCCTATGACTTATCCATGCTTATGCTTATGCCTCCTATGCTCCCTATGCCCTACTTCATACCCTCATGTCTACCCCTTTACTCTCATAGCGCCAGCGGACTTTTGTGTGTACTCCTGATGTGCTCCTCGATGTTCCACTTGTTCTGTACTGATGGAATAATGAGAACTATCTTTGGATATCTGTCGCGTTCGACTGAGCGGAAGACTCGCGGGGGGTGTCATCGGTATACACCTCTCCCCAGGTTGGCTATCATGAAGTACATTGGGCTGCAGCTGCGAGGTAACGGGGAGCTCATTATCGCGCAGCTATCCTTAAAAGCCGTGCTGTTGTGCATGCGCATGCGAGGACGGACGCGAGGCGCGGGTCCTTGGATGAGAATTCGGGGAGGACCGGGAAAAAAATTGCCCGATTTGGAACGATTCCCGGCATGGAAATTGTTTTCCGGGTACTCCCGCATCCCTCCTCACCGCCGTCGCTCACCTGTATACGAACACTACCATGGCGCCTCGCACAAGGAGAAGGTTCAGACCTGGGACTTTGGTGCGTGGCAGTATACACGTAAAGTCGTCGATCCTGACCGTGTGCAGATGCGCCTATGTTTGAACATGAACCATCTATCGACTGTAGTCGCCTGGCTCGCCTTCGTCGCGACGCTCTACGCCTGCGCAACGCCCCCAGCAGACGCCTCGAACGCTACCCCAAGCGACAACGCAACTGTCCTATCCCCGGGTCATGACCTGATCGGCGGGAACGTCGTATCTGTGTGCCTATCGTACCACGGAAGACCCTGCTCAACGCAAGACTCTCATACACCCCAATTGCCGTCGCAGCCAACTTCTTACGGAGGAGGCTTGCATAACTCGTCGCGGTGGCCATGTCCCGGCCATTCGCTCCACTCGTCGCCGTCTACAAATCTCCATGTAGATGTGCCCCCTTGCTCGCCACCCGTCGCTCTCCAGAGCGGGTCGGTTTCGTCACTGCCTCGGTGCAGTTTCCAAGATCTACGCGCGTTCGACGCCTACAATAAGACTACACAGTGCGACGATCTCAAACCCGATGCGCGTTGTTTACCTTACACCGTGCATCTAGTACCTCCAGCCGCTGCCATATGTCCCGCTGTCGCGTACCGATATGAAATGCTATATCGCCTTTCCCTGACTCTGAATAGCTGCGATGGTCAATCGTCAACGACCCGTGATCTTTCAAGTACGACGCGCCTGGCTCGGCGGACGCGTTGGGTCGCCTACAATCGTCCACGGCTCAGGATTCGAACGTCCCATGCGGTACTTCACGCGTTCTACAGGCAGGATTCGATGTTGAGCTGTCTCCTCGTTATGAGGAGTAACATTCGTGCTGTGTGTGCGTCTATGCGAAGGAACTTCATGAGAAGGTGGGATTACCGAGCGTATCTGGCCGGATACAGGCATGGCGAGGCAATCACTGAATATGTGCTTCAGCTCGACGGGGCGCCCCTCTTGATTCATATGCCCATTCACGCCTCCGTTCTAGTCACCATGTTCCTTCCCTTGTACCCCTATCTTGACCCTCGCATGTGCCCGCGCGAACCTGAATCCGTCAGAGCCCAAAGGCCGATAGGGCGGAGAGCTTTCCACAGGACTATGCGATTTATCCTGGGAGGTGGAGGACCTACGAACCGGTTGAAGTGGTCGTCCCTTCGAAAGTACGTGAAAGGCGCTTCTCCTGAGGATGTCGGTGATGATACTGAATTTAGTTTCGCAGGGTACGGACCTAGGGAAGTTATGACGGCGCGCGCGAGCAAGGACAAACTAGTCGTTGTCGACATGCCTTTCGTCAATGCTGTTTGGTTTTTGAACAAGACCCAATTGAAAGGCGCTAGTCTGTTGCACGACACCGAGTGGTCGTCTCGATGGGATGTAGGCGAAGCCCGTCTGGAGCTAAGTGCGCACGAATGCTCAAATGACTGCACGCCCCACGATTCCGTTTGCGTCTTCAAGAAAGTCGTCACGCGTACTGAACGTAACCGCCGAGACTACGCTAAGCGGAAGAAGGCACCTATGAAGCCCGCTGTTCGTAGTGTTGAGACGCCTGCCCACTTCCCTCCAGAGCCCGTCACTGACGACCTCGTAGAGGACATCGTTCGAGGATTCTGCGCTGACACATCCAAAGAAGCGATCGAGGAAGTCGGCTGTGCTTCGTGCGGGATTCTCTGCAATCGCGCGTCGTCAAAGTCGGTCAAGGATCGAAAACTTGACCTCTCGCTTCTCATAGAACCCCACGCAACTCGACTGGAACGAGATTCTCTCAGCCAGCCACTGAAGCGTGTCGACGGACCCGTCCTTGCGGAAGGATGCGATAGAATATGTGTAACGTGCTTCGACCATCTAGTGAGTGGTAGAAGACCCCCAATGTCTCTGGCGAACGGCTTATGGATCGGAGAGGTTCCGGACGTGCTTAAGGGTCTCTCATACGCGGAGATGCAGATGATAAGCAAGGTCCGCCACAATCGTGCCGTTGTTCGCGTTCGATCCGGCCGTGGCAAAATGATCGCTAATGCAGTCATGTTCTCGAGCCCTCTTCCCCAGGTACGCCGTGTTCTTCCCCCCCACCGGGAGGAGCTCAACGAAGTCGTAGCATTCACATTTTTGGGATCCGCTCGCCCCACGCCTGAGGAGTTCAATCGTACGCCAATGCTCATGAGACTGGATGTCGTCGAGAAAGCGCTGCGTTGGCTGTGTCCAAACCATCCGTCCTTTCATGACGTGGAGATATCGCAGGAGAACATAGATAGTTACCGCGTAGAGAATGCGCTTGTGTGGGAATTCCGTCAGTTGGCGGACGATGATACGATTCAAGAGGCTACCGCTACGAGTATGGCCAACGAAGACGTTGACGCTCCAGACCAAGGGCGATGCCCCTTCGTCGTTCATGGACTGACATCTGAGAAGTACTCTAGTATGACCATCAATCAATTAAAATCTGTCGCATTGGAGCATCTTCAAAAGGGCAATACGGTCCTTGGCGTGGGTCACGATGAAAAGCCGGAAGGCATGTTTGATAACCCCAAAGCGTATCCAGCGATGTTCCCCTGGCTCTTCCCCTATGGACTAGGAGGTATCGGTATGTACATGAAGGACGAAGGTTCCATATCAGCCAAAGTTCACAAGGCTCACTTATTATTGTATCACGACAAGCGGTTTCAGGACGATCTCTATTTTCCTATGATAGCATTCAATCACGAGCAAATTGCCGCGAGCTCGACGGCTAGCAATATCATGGTGAAGCGGGCAGATTTTCCTCGCGTTATCGACAAGTTGGCGACCCTCAATCTCCACGTACTCGGCCAGCTATCACGTAGACTCGAGGAAGAAGGCGGCGTAGTGGTTGAGACGGACGACGAAAGAAACTGTTTCGATATCATGCGCAGTCTCGATTACATTGGCGGCCATGTACAGGGTTCCGTGACAGCGAAGAAGTACATGAGGAATGAAATCTGGTCTCTCATTAATTTTATGGGTGCTCCGTCGTGGTTCATCACCCTGTCTCCATCGGATAGTAGCCATCCAATCGCACTGTACTTCGCAGACCACGACCTAGTATTCAAGCCGCGCATCAAGTCTTGGAAAGAGCGGAGTGATCTTGTCGCCCGTAATCCAGTTGCTGCTGCACGATTCTTCAATATCATGGTTAAAGCTTTCATCACGCACGTCTTCGGCGTTGGTTCTGCTCACCGTGGCTTATACGGTCCAACATCCGCTTATTACGCCGCCGTCGAGCAGCAAGGCAGACTGACATTACATCTGCACTCGCTGCTTTGGATTCGAGGGGCTCCGTCGCCGCAAACCATCCGCGATAGGTTGCTTGGCGGCGATACAGCGTTTGAAAGAGAAATGATCCGTTATCTTGAAGAGATGCAAACTGGCCAATTCTTAACGGGCGACATTGAGACGGTGAGAGCAAGAGTACCTTTCCGCCCGAAGAATGATGCCGAAGACGACGTCCATCGCTTGTACAAGGAAGATACAGCTGAGGTTGATGATGAGCGCCTGAAGCAGAAAGACGCGACGCGACGAAAGGGTGCGTACGAGGATCCAACCCAGACCCTTCCCGAACCTCCGCCTCCGCCCTGTAAGTGCAAACAGAGAGCCTGCGAATGTGCAGATAAGCGAAAATTGTGGTGGTCGCGATTCAAGGAGACCGTCGACGATCTGATCCTTCGAGTACAAATACATCGCTGTATCCGCAAACGAGGCGCAAGAGCAGCAGAATCCGCTGCCAAAGGACGGAAGGACCCACTCGAGGGCATCAAAGGTTGCAAAGGGGATGACGATATTTGCGAGGCCCGCTTTCCTAGAGATTATGTTAGTAAATCTTATGTGGATCGCGTCACTGGGGCCATACACTTAGTGAAGACGGAGGTCATGATGAACTGCGTTACCCCGGTAGTGACGTACCTCACCAGGGGGAACACAGATACTACGAGTCTGCAGTCAGGGACATCCATGAAAGCGGTCGTACTGTATGTATCAGACTACATCACCAAATGTTCTTTGAAAACTTACCACATCATGTCGTGCATAAAAGCGGTCTTCGAGAGACACGCGGCTGCATTCCAGGGGGCGCCAAGAGACGCGACGAGCGCTAGAAAGCTCATGATGAAGATGGTGAATGCGTTGGCACCCCGAATGGAGATTGGGAGCCCGATGGCTGCGTCCTATCTGCTCGGATTCCCGGACCACTACAAGAGTCATGAGCTCGTCATCTTCTGGTGGAAGAACTACGTCAATCGGGTACTGGACGACTGGCCAGAGTCTGTGAGGTCGGGCACCTTCGAGGAGCGGCTGATCTTGAAGAAAGAGGATGGCCAGGTGATAGGCACCTCCATTGTCGATGATTATGTGCATCGCCCTCGGAAGTACGAGAACTATTGTCTGTTTGAGTGGATACAATGTGCGAAAAAGACGAAGCGCACCGCTAACCAACTCAAATCGTTCTTAGCTGCTAACGCGGATGTAGCGCCAGGCGACGCAGACGAAGATGTTAACGCTGGCGACGATGCGGTCCCTGTCGAGGCACACACACCTCCAGTCAATTCCGCTGATGATGTTCCCGACGTACTGGATGACCTTGATAGGATACCGAAAGCGGTGGATCTTATGGACGGTACGCAAAAGTCACCTATGGCCGTCAATCGTCAGCCCCCTTACGCGTCGTTCTTAGACACGCACCCGCAACACGCCTCTCATCATGTCTGGTGCGATCCATCGAAGAGGCACTACATAGTCCCTAACTTCGTCGGCGGAAGTATCCCTAGAAGCGATCAAGGAGACCGCGAGTATTATTGCGCAACTATGCTTACCTTGTTTTCTCCGTGGCGTCGAGGCCGAGACCTGAAAGTCGAGGGGTACGATTGGGACCACGCATTCCGTGCTTACGAGTTCAAGGGTCGCCATCTGCAGTTGATGGAGAACTTCAACCTTCGGTACGAATGCGCTGATGCCCGCGATGATTATCGGAACGAGTTGAAGAAGAAGAAGCGAGTTGGCGCGGTGAACTTCAGGATAGAGGATGCTGAGGACGATGGCGATGGCGGTGTCGGATACCCAGGAAGCTACGGTGAGGACCTAGATTATGACGCACCCGACGACGGAGAGACGGGACCAGGTTGGAATCGCGTGTATCAAATAGTTGACTTCGCTCGGACGTACGCGGGTACATCAGGTTGGACTGAGATTCGAAAGGACGACAAGCACCCTGCTCCTACATCGAGCATTCCAAAAGGGGCGCGGCGTGGGTCGGAGTGGGCGTCGTACATCAAAAACTTGAAGGACAGCATCTTTCATGCGAAGCTCAGGTCAGTGCCGGTAGGTAATGGGTCGCGCAACGCCGCAGGGACAAGCAGCGGGATGCATGAGACAGGCGTTGTCAACCTACCTGCGTCTTACTTCACGAAAGAGTACTCCGCTGACAAACCGGACCTTAGAACTCTGATAGAGGACATCGTCAGTGAATTCTCCCTGAACGCTGATCAGCAGAGGGCATTCACCTTGATCGCCAACCACGCCGGTGGTGTCCAAGCAGACCCACTACGAATGTTTATGGGCGGTATGGGTGGAACTGGGAAATCAACAGTGATCCGCGCGCTTATCGAGTTCTTCAAGCGTAGAGGGGAGGAACATAGATTCATCATACTGGCGCCGACTGGCACTGCTGCTGCTCTTCTCAACGGATTCACGTACCACTCTGTCCTTGGTATGGGGTGGGGGTCCAACAACGGATATGCGGACGGCTCGAGTGTGAGGAACATCAATGACCGCCTGCAAGGTGTTGAATATATATTCATCGATGAGATCTCGATGCTCAATTGCGGCGACTTATACCGTATAAGTGCTCACCTGGCCAAGGCCTTGGGAAGGCACGAACTCCCATTCGGTGGTATGAATATGATTTTCGCAGGGGACTTCGCGCAACTTCCGCCCGTTGGAGGGGTTAAGCTCTACGACCGAAAGGTTCAGACAGACGTCGAGCGGAAGAGGATGTCGCTTACAGTTCAGATGAACATCATTGGGAAGGCGATGTGGCACCAGGTCACAACGGTAGTGATACTGTCGGAGAACATGAGAATGAAATCGGCGACAAAGGAGGATCGCGATCTCGCGCGCACCTTGGCCGACATGCGATATGCTGCGTGCACACCCGAGGATATGGAGGTCCTTCGCCGCCTTGTTGTTGGCAGTAGTCCTGCGGCGCCTAAGATGAACGATCCCAAGTTCAGGAGCGTATCGATTATTACCGCAAGACACGCTGAAAAGGATGCATTCAACGATCTGGGGGCTAAGCGCTTTGCCGCGGAGACAAATCAAGAGCTCACTTCCTTTTATTCGTGCGACGCCCGTGCGTCCGAAGACACCATCCCGGGTCGTAAGAAGAAGAAAGGCCGACCCGGCAAGAAGGCTGCTAAGTCGGGCTCAGGAATAGCGGAACACTTACAGAAGATGTTATGGGATTCGCTTCCCTGCTTCACCGATAATGTGCCCGGGAGGTTGGATCTCTGCAAGGGCATGCCGGTCATGATACGTTCCAACATAGCGACAGAGCTCTGCATGACAAAAGGTCAGGAGGCCGTCGTATACGATTGGTCCGCGTCCCTCGGCGACCAGAAGCAGCGAATACTCGACGTACTATATGTCAAGCTGGTAAACCCGCCGAAGAATGTGCAGATGGATGGTCTGGAGGAGAATGTCGTACCGTTGTCGCGGATGTCCCATACCATACGGTGTCAGCTCCCTAATGACCAAACCGTCAGAATAGAGCGAAAGCAGATCCCGATTCAACTCAACTTCTCGATGACGGACTACGCATCGCAGGGTAAAACCAGGACTTTCAACGTCGTGAACCTCGCGAACTCGCGATCACATCAAGCATGCTATACCGCTCTATCTCGTGGAACCTCTGCCTCTGGAACCGCCATAGTATCCTCCTTCAACGGCGTGATGCTGACGAAGGGCATGGACGATCAGCTGAAGAGAGAATTCAGGAATCTGGAGGTACTTAGCGAGATTACGCGCTTGCGTTACGTGGGCGACTTGCCCGCCCATGTCACAGGCGACACAAGAAATCAGCTTATACGTAGCTTCCTTGACTGGAAAGGCCCAGATTATGAGATCCCGAATCTACATCCGGCGCTCAGGTGGCGGTCAAAAGAGGATTGGGACGATATTAATGACCCTGTCGGTCGTCAGGCATGGCAATACGCAGCTAAGGACGATGAAGAACCGCAGCCAGCGCCTATCGCGCAATCAGAGACGAAAGGGACAGCGAAGAGGAAGAGGAAGGTCGAAGGGGACGTGGAAAAAACATCTCAGGACGAACGCCCAGCAAAGCATGCACGCACTTCGAATTGTGATGTACAGAGTCGCCCTGCTCCCCGAGGATACCAGTGGAACTCAACAGACTGGAGCTGTCCGTACGATGCCGTGTTCACCGTCCTTCATTGTATCTGGATAAGTGATCCGACGAGATGGAGTCGTCATCTTTCCAGCGTCAGCCCGTTCTCCAAGAAATTGGTTACCTTGTGGACCGAGTATATGAGTGCATCCGAGCGTTCGTGGATCGGTACCCGAGACATCGTGAGGACGATGCTTCATGAGAGCGATCCTACCATATTCCCGTATGGAAACCGGCCTGCATCCGCCACTCGGCTAGCCATAAACATGCTGGGTGACACCGTTTTCGCATCTAGATCAAGAAGATGCGTCAGTTGTGGATCCGTACGAGGTGAAGGGACATCGGCGCTGGGCCAATGCAATCCGCTGTACACTCAGAATTTGCTTCATGGCAGAGATCGCGAGAGATTCACCACTGCGGACTGGCTTACCGAAGTCCTGCGAGGTAAATCGCGGCGTGTCAGTTGTCTCTCGTGCCGTAGCGCCACCGAGCCAATAGTCACCGTCCGCGAAGTTCCTGAGCTGCTATGCCTTGATAGAGAAGACGCGCACTTACTTATCTCGCACAAACTGGATTTCAAGGGCGTCGCCTTCGCCCTGCGCGGTGTCGTATACGCTGGTCAGCACCACTTTACGTGCCGTGTTGTTGATAGCGTGGGCACCCTGTACCGGCACGATGGGATAACCAATGGGAACCTTTGTGAGAGGGAGGCGGATCTAGCTAGAGTGACACCAGATGAATTAGGAACTTGGAGATGTCGAGATGGTGCGGTCAAGGATGCGACCCTCGTCTTCTACGTGCGTGTGAGGCCCTAGGTTGTGTTCTCATATATACTTGGCACATGTTGAGTGACCCAGTAGCATGTTGGTCCGCGGGGGTGGGGTAGGGCGGGAGGGGTTATGTTGGAGGAAGCGGTGGTGTACGACGATGATGAGTGTCACGTGCTATTATCTTGCGATGGATATTTGTGGCGTAATGACGTGTACTTTCCTTACATGGTTCATTTTCACCCATTCTCCCCGACCTAGCATCCTCGCTGCTTGAACTTCCTCTGAGCCTACGGACTACATAGCCAATTCACATCTTGGTCGGTATGCTTCTCAGATATCACAGCGACCTTCCGATTCTGACGACCTTGCTGCCAAATGCAATGTGTATCCCACTGCCCCCCTCGTACCTGCCACCGAGCAGCGTCTTCTGCATCTACATCTTCTTCCGAGTCGGAAAACGAGCGGCCCTACAATGCCGCTGCACATGCCCCACGCCAATGGGCGGCTCGCATGAGACGATGTGCATGAATATTTGATTTCCGCCGTGCCGAGCTCGCAGGCCGCCTCCTATCAGACGCATCGGCTCTTCTGCGTCCGAAGCCGGCGGAGTCTCATCCTCGTCTGGCTTTTTTACCCTCCTTGTGATCGCCCCCCACCGTCCGCCCGTCGACCGCTGGTATGATTCTGTGCGTATATCTGCCCTCCTTCTGCCCCATCGCTCACGAACCCGTTGCAGACCCGAACCATGCGACGCGCCCCTATGCTCTTGCCTCAGCGCCCGCGATCTCATAAGCTATGGCCAAGTTTGTCGCGACACTCGCCGAGCCGTCACCGACTACAGTAGCTTAGCCTTCCAGGTGAAGTACGCCCTCGAACCCTTCATGGATCACAAAGACGTCGTCCTCTTCCGCGAGGTCCTCAGGGACACTGGCGCAGTCATATCCGGCGCTGTCGCTCTACATTTCTTCAACCGCGTAACGGTCCAAGACACTCCCCTCGAAATCTACGTCGAGCGCACGCACACGATGGAAGTCGCCCTATTCTTCGATTATATTGGTTACCAGTATCGGCCTCGAGAGAGACAGGAGGGCATCCTCGCGGACGCCCACAGCCTCGCCATTAATCGCTTCAACCTGCGCGATGCCGCCATCTCCGAGTTACACTCCATCCTAGACATGTTTACCCTCGTCCGGGGTGACACAGAGGTCAAGATCATGATGGTCGTTGACAGCGCACTCGATGCCATCCTGGACTTCCACTCTTGTGCGTGTCGCGGCATAGTCCTTCCTCGTCTTCTGACTGTAGTTCCCAGCTCCCGTGATGAACTTCATCACTTATAGGTCGGCTTACTCGCTCTTCCCTTACAACACGTTCATCAAGAAGTCGGGCCTTCTCTTCGTTGAGGATAACGGTCACGTCGACGGGTATAGGAGACGCGGTTGGAGAATGTACCGGCGCCTATCCAACTCACGGTACGAGACCGTCGGCAAGGAGATCACTGTCGGTACTCGCTACGTTGGGGACCAACATACGTGGACTATCGACCTTGATGACCTGTGCGTTCCGGTGATCTTTCCTTACCTTCCGAATTAACCTTTCTACAGTGCGCCGCAGGACTTGGACCCTATGCTATTCAATTCGTTCGAACTCCAATGGTCGCGTAGGGTGGACGCGTACATCCTCCCGCAAATCGCTCGCCTGGTTTTCCTCGCGCCCCAATATTGGACGCAAAGCCGGCTATTCGCCAGCAGCGACCTCATTCACCGCTTTACGGTTGCCCTTCATTCCATTCAGCCCGTGGCCTATAGGTGAGCGACTTCGCACTCGTCCGATTCTACCCGCTGATGCTGCGTACAGACAAACCGACGACGACGTCGTCCGCGCCGTCCTCTCCAGTGGCGAAGATACACTCTTCAAATTTCATCCTCCTTGCGCGACGGACACTATCATGCTGGTTCCTTGGAAGGCAACTCTCAGGAAGTACCGGGTGCCCGTCGTCAAGATTCGCGGTGCGAGGTTGTACCCCCCCGAGGGCTTGGTTTGTGAAGTACAATGCGCTCCTGCCTCGTCTAATCGTGCCTCTAGGAAGATCCTTTCGCGCCCGACGAAGCGAGGAGGACCCCTGAACCGAATGCCGTACCTTCGTCCCACATGCAGCCGGCCAATCAGCACTCGGACGACCATATAGATCATCAAATCGGCAATGGCGATGCCCAGACGGCGATCAGCGCCATCCACGCCGCGCCGGCTCCCATACCCTCCAACTCGGCGAACCCGCTTATCGGCGTCACCGAAGAGCTACAGGTACGGACTTCGCCTGGCTTGCTTATCTACTTTCTGACATCCCTCGCGTAGCTAGCGGTCTGGGACGGCGTCGGTGACTTTGAGGTCTACACTCGTCCTCGGAAAAAGGCTCGGAGAGCGGATGTCGTATGATACTCTTAGTTGCAGCGGTCATACAATGATGATACGAAACACGCAATAGGGTCTACATCTACATATATATGGTTCGATGAAGCCATCCTCTTGTGGCCGCAACGATAGGCATGTGAGCGTCGTACCTTCATAGTCGGATGCAAAAAATTGCCTTCTATGGAATGCGATCGGTGATGACGTAAACCTTCCGTCTTCGCTCCGTCTTTTCCCTCCCCTCTTCCTCGACCTCCCCCCTCGCTGCGTCCCGCTTCCATCGCAGTCTCCTGTTCCCGCACATTGAGTACCATCAGGACTTGTCTCTCTCTGCCTCTTCTATGCGACCAGGCATCTTCTTTGCTTCCGATCTTCACTGTCGTGCGGTCGCTCGGCGACACTCCGCCTGGATCACGATGACACGACGTGCGTGTCCTGCAATTTCACCTCTCCCGCTTCAAGTTTGCTAACTATTTGTCCTGAGGCACCATTCTTATCGAGCTCCGCGGCGGCTTGCTTCCCTCCCCCATCCCCAGGCGCCCTTGCACTCCACAGCGTGCGCCATGATACTGTACGTGTCTTTCGCGACCCCCCGCCGTCCCACCTGTTCATTTTCCTCAGGCCTGACATCTGCGACGATGACATCTGCAGTCCGTTGTCGTTGCCAGATCTTGTGACCTATTCGCAGATCTGCAAGGACACGCATCGCACTGTCCGATCGTACGCTCACAGAGCATACAAGTTCAAGCATTGCCTCGAGAGGTTCATGGACGCGGACGAAGCGGAGGGCCTACGCAACCTCATGCGCAAGACGGGAACCATCATATCTGGATCCATCGCCCTTCAGTTCTTCTCGCGCGAGCCCCTTCCCGATAGTGACCTCGACCTGTACGCTGACCGCTTTCGCGCGGTCGAGGTCTTTGGCTACCTGGCGGAGCTTGGCTACCGTTACCTTCCCCGCGCAGACCAGGACCGCGTGCTCGACGTCGCGCTCGTTCGTGCGATCAGGTCCGAGCGCATTCGCCCCGAATTTACCTACAACTTGGAGTCCGTCCTCGATGTCTTCACCTTCGGACGCCCCTCAGTCCCGGACGTCGTGATACAAGTCGTCGTCGTGGTTCACTCCGTGATTGACGCCGTGCTCGACTTCCACTGCAGTACGTACCATTGATCCTCCCGCCTACATCGCACGCTCACGAACACTACACATTCAGCGGCGGTCATGAACTTCATCACGTACCGCGCCGGTTATTCCCTCTACCCGCGCAACACCTTCGTCACCATGTCTGGCGTCGCCTTCGACGACGATGCCATGAACGGCCCGTCCAGCAAGTACAGGCGCCGTGGATATGATCTCCGTTGCGCGATGGAGGAACGCAACTTTGATCTCCTCGGTCGTGAAGTGACTTGTGGTGAACGCTACGTCGGCGACTCGCACACGTGGGTCATCAACTTCGACAACGGGTGCGTTTCCTGCTCGCAACCGGCGCCTGCGTCCCACAGCGCTGAAATGTAATTGCAGAGCGGACGAGCAGCTCGATACTATGCTCTTTAATTCCTGGGCTCTTCAATGGACCGTCGTCGGCCGCATTCGCATCCAGCCCAAGATCATTCGCCACTTCTACGTCGACGGCTACGATACCCTCATTACTCGTGTCTTCGCGACTGAGCTGCTCCTGCACGACTTCACCGATCGCGTTACATCCATCCACATCGACACTATAGGGTGCGTGCTGCTCGCTCGCGCGTGTTCAATGACTGACGCTTGCTTATGGACAGTCGCACGGATGCTGACGTTTTGCAAGCCGTCATCCGTAGCGGCTTGACTTCCTTGTTCTCCGACATGCCTCCGTCCGCAGCGGACACCAGATTCATAACCAACATAGCCAAGGTTCCCGTCGCTGTCGGCGGCATCCATCAACTCGCCCTGCGCTCTTTCGGTCCCGTGGATCTGCTACCATCCGCGTTTACCGAGAAGGTATGGTTCTCGCCTACTGTACTAGCGCTCGATCCTGATATTTCCTTCAGGTTCCGAATGCCTTCGACGACGAAGACGACATCGTGTGCGTTGGCATGAGTTTTGGGCGCTGCCTGGGCCGCCAGCGGTACGACGTCAACGCGCACAGGACCCTCGCGGTGTCTAAGGCATATACTCAGATCAATGTGTCCTACTCGTGCTCACTGCTTCCTAGGTAAACAAGGTTGCGCGTGATGGGCCCGTCGCGAAGAGGCGTCGTATTGATTGATTTAGCTACTCACTTATCGACCTCCTGTGACCTTGAACAATGACCGCATGACTTGGGCTTCAGCCCGTCCTTTAAAAGTTAATAATCTGCTTGGCAAAAATGATCATTTCTCTTTTTGGGTCTTTGCTGTTGTGTCGCTGTCCTTGTCTCGCCAAGGCAGGTCTCGTATACCGCCCCCGGGGCCACTTACCTAGTTGAAGCGTGGAGTTCCTGGTTCTGGCGTAGGGGCTGATTGTGGCGCATTGGCTGTCGGTGTAGGCTGTGGCGGCTGCGGCGTTGTCACTGGCGGTGGTGATGGCGATTGCACTGGTGCGGGCGGTGGTGCAAAGGAAGGAGTGGCTGTATGGCTCGCCGATGTGGACTTAGCAGACTCGCGCTCGGAGCGCCTCTTTGCTGCATGAAAGAATGCTTCCGGGGTACTAGGCTTCTGACCTGCTCGTGCCTGTCTCATGCTCACCGCGGTTGCGCTTGCACGGCCCTGGACATCTAGTCAGGAGAGAAAGAGATGGAAGGAAGCAGTATCACGCACCTCTTGAGCAGATGAGGTAGAGGACTTGGGGTCTTGCGCCTGTGGTTGTGGAGCAGCAGAAGTGGTCTGGTAGGATATGAAGCATTAGTACATGGAAAACACTAGTTATGCTATGAGCACGCACAGAGGATCTTTCGGTGGTGCTCCCGCCTTGCTGTTGTTGCTGTCGTCCTAGTCCATCCCGCTTGCGGTGGTAGACTGCCATATGGCTGCAGTATCCGCACTTGCGATTCTTCGGAATAGCACCCATATCCTCGGAGAAGTCCAGGAAGGACTCGCAATCGCAATCGAGGAAGAGACATGTGCCCAGCATGGACGCCGTCAGAAAGGTTGTGGAAGACATTGGACCACCACCACTGGACCACCGCTTGTCACCTCTACCACAACCACCATCCAGCGTGAGACCACGCCTTCGCACCAGATAGCAGACAGGAAGAAGGAGGCAGAGTTGACTAGCCGCTTAGTCGCGAGTCCGAATAGCTCCGGGGAGATGATCGAGATGAGGCAAATGAGGTGTATTCCTTACCGCAGCTTTACATATGTAGGTTGTATGTAGGTCGTAAAGCAACGAGCCGCTCTGTACCAGCGCTCGCATCTGTTGAGAAGTAGTCGTCGTCCAAGTCTGCAGCAGATAGGCCTTCCGAGATATGGCGGGATGACGGTTCAAAGCAAGCTCAAATTTGACCACAGGCCCTTCCAACAACTCCTCTGTATACTGTGTACCACAAGTCGTGCTCTCGCTCTCACTTGTGCCTGTGTGAGGCCCCTGCTCTGGGCTGCTGCTACTACGAGGGACAAGTGATGTCAGGTTGCACAGGCCTGGGAAACGGCGAGTCCCATCCAGACAGCGCAGCTTGAGAAGGAGTGAAGGAGTGGGAGGAGAGATGCCCCACCACCTGGGACGGCGAGCAGGCTCGGAGATCAGATGGCAAGAAGGCGTCCGCAAGCCGCTTGTTAACCAGAAATCTCAAAGGAAAGCACGGCGAAGATGAGGGCAGGCAACTCCCAGGGAAGATGGGAAGATGAATCAATTCAGCGGGTGGGACATGCGGCTGCGCTGCTCGATGATGGAAGGAGGATGACCAGGCGGTCAAAGACAGCAAGTGGGACGACGACGATGACAACACGCTCACACGCTCAGCCAGCGAGCAGATGGTGGTCGTGGACGCGCTCGACTACAGCAAGGAGGAGGATGGCGTACACAGCGGTGGTCGCACACTCGTCGCTGAGGTGAAGGCATCCAAGGCCCGACGTCAAACTAAGCAAGTCACCGCCGACCTTTGTGACGCCCAGAGCCCAGAAGCGCGACAGACCGCCGAGGCGCGCAGCTTCGAGGCCGTGATGCGTGAGCACGCCCGCCGCCGAGCAGCGCGCTGCAGGGCTCGAGGCAGAGCTGGCGAATGTGGACGGTGAAGTCCAGGGCATGCAGGCGCAGTTGCGCGATGCAATGCACAGGCTCAACTCAACGATCTAGAATCGCACTGCGCCAACTCGTGCTTTTACCTCGGGGCGAGCATGATGACCATGGCGACGCGCACGGGTAGTGGTACCTCGTCGAGGAAGCGGCGGACCATAAAGAGCAGGTCGCCCGTGATGCTGTTCGCGAACGCGAAGCCGGCGAACGCGGCATCGATGCGCGGCGTGAGCATGACAACGACGGTCGTGACGCCGACGGCGGAGGAGAGGAGGTTGAAGCGCACGGATAGCCAGCAGTTCACGCCACATCCAGTAGTATGGGTTTAGTATGGATTTGCGTTCGTGTCGACGCAGCGGAGCATGTCGCGCATAAACTTGGTCGAGGCGCCGAAGGCGCGGAGGATGGTAACAACAGCGGGGAGCATCACCGAGTCGAGGCGGCGCATGTCGCGGAAGGTCTGGCCGTAAACCTTGCCAGCTTGGTAGTAGAAGAACCCCGATTACAAGCGCGGCGGCGGCGACGAAGGGCGGTCCACCGACCACGCTGACCGTGATGATTGTCGTCGCCGTCGACAAGCTGTACATTGCCGTGCGTTCAGAGTTGTCCTGAAGCGAGGAGTCAGTGCCCTCGAAATCTGTCCCAAACCGATTGAGAACACGTCCGCGGGAGACAGTATCGTGGAAGCGAATGTTGGCGAAGAGGACCGACTCAAGAAGGCGCTTATACAGGACGCGGGAGGCATGGATGGAACCACCGTCTGAGAGTCGGTTAGCCGGAGGAGGAAGAACACGGCTTGAAAATATACGTACACAAACTGGACCAGCGGAGAGTCGTGACAACGAGACCCGCAAGAGCAACCGCGGCGTAGACGCCGATGTAGTAACCAGCACACTCTTGCGCTCGCTCGGCGGTTCCTGCGCCGACCAAAACCTCAGCCAGCCATTCTCAGCAATGGGGGAGAGCGCAGAGACAACGAAGACGAAGACGAAGAACACCCAGTACCACTTATCGCCAGAAGCTTTGAAGTAGGTGAGCCTATTTAATCTTCGTCAGTCTTCCGCTATGCTGTCCGAGGCCCATGACGCACCAGATGTCCTTCCCACGGCGCGCGCTTCTCCTCCTCGACAAGCTTCCGGGGCGGCTTGCGAGCGTTCGCTGGGGCCACAGGCGGCGGCTGCAGCACCGTCTTCAGCTCCGACGGGCGCCCCGCCCTCGCTCTCAAAGCCCCCCTCAACCCCCCTCAATCGCCTGCTCCTCCATCTCATCCTCCTCCACCGCGTCCACCGCCTGCACCAGCCCCGCCATCACGCCCGACCCGCGGAAGCCCTCCACGCCGCCCCATACCTCACGCGCCCATTGTCCAGCGCGCGAAGAGGCGGTTGTAGCAGAAGTGGGTGTCTCAGCAATGAGAATTGCCTTTGAAGCCGTTGCGGGCGTCTCTGAAGCAGCTAAGGGCATTTGGGGAGTAAAAGGAGAACATTCGGCAGGCCTAGGCTTTGCTTGCGCCAGGCGAATCATAAGCTGAAGCCAGATCTAAGCGCACGGCTTCGCGCACTTCGACGTAACGATTGGTGGCGAGAACTGGAGGTTGCGCTTGAGCACGAGAGAAGGGGTTGAGGCTGTGTTGGTGCAGGGAAGCCGTCCATCAGTATTGCCGGCAAGTCCACCACACGCGGGCTAGGCAATGGCGTTGGGCAATTGTACAGAGGTCTCCTGTAGCGAGGGCTCGTTCTCTTCCGATACTGGACTTCTCGGCACGTCTGCGCCCATCGACGTGGGTCTACAACCTCGTCCGAGCGAGGAGAGCAGTCCGCTGCTTCATGCTAGCTCCGATGCTAGAAAGAGCCCCTTTACGAGGAGCGGGAGCGTACGCCATTGCGATGGTTATTCAGCGGTTCGATTGGTGGTACGGGCAGTGGTTGATCGGGATGGCAAGTGATAGTGGCTTCCGCATCCGCGATGAAGTGCTTTGAGGCCAACGCGCGCGGACTGTCTCCTCGGGCTCGAAGGATACGAGATCGGCGTTAGTGAGGCGGCGAACGAACGCGACATAGGGTTCTATTGCAGCGTGTATAGGGATGACGGGGGGTCGGGCAATGCTGTTAGGCGCGTCAGTGATCATGGGTCCATGCAAACATGGGTGCACAACGCACATGAGGAACGGCTCCTAAGCGCCGCGCCCGTAAAGTCGCGCTTCACGAACAGGCGCAGGAGGCGCTGAGCGTCCAGCGCTGATCCTGAAGATATCATCAGATCAGGGTCGGCCGCTAGATTATAATCATGGCGGCGCGAGTGCTCACCTCCCTCATGCGCTTGGCGGCGCAATCTTCGAGCTCTTGCTGCCTCGCTCTTGCTGCCTCTCTTGGTCGAGCGCGCTAGCTCCACATATGGGGCCGGGACGACATTGGGCGGGTGCGGGGTGTATGGGCACAGATAGACAGAGGCTGGGGAAGGAACAGCAGGCGGCCTTAGGGATGTCTCGAGTAGATTACAGTGTGCTGGGTACGCTGCCGATGGTGAGGGGATGGTGAGGGGACATCCTCTTCAGGCACGGACGAGCAGCAAGATGGTGATAAGAGACGAGACCACCGGGCAGCCTCCCAACGCCAAACGAAGTGGGCTGGTCGCCGAGTGAAGGAGAGCACCAAGTTCGGCGAACTCGGACCGCCTTCCCGTGTTTGGTCTGCTTGTCTGTGTTTGTCCCCCATGCAGTGTCTCGTACATTTCGCCATCAATTAGCGGAAGGGAAGTGGACTGTTGTGTATCGAGGGGTGAGGGAGGGTGAGGGGCAGGGCAGCGTGGTGTGGTAGGCAGACCTGCTCCGCGGGAAACGCGTCTTGGCGGTGGTCGGGGTGGTCAGCATCGAGCATGAATCATATCTCATGCCTCATGCTGCAACCTCCCAACTTCCTATGCTGTATAGTCATCGTACATATACTACCACATACCACGGCAGTTAATTATTCAATCATGCACTTTCTCCTTTGGAAAAGCGATTCCTGCTGATCAGAATGAAATAAATCATGTGTCGTTGAGAGGCCATGGTGCGCAATTTCATCGTTCCATTAATCCATTGGTCCCTCCTCATTCTTCTCACTGAGGATATGCAAGGCTTCCTGTTTTCAGTGTGCCATTGGAACACACCTTCCTTTATCCAGGGCATCGTAGCTTCCCATTTTTGGACTTCCACGACCTGTCAATTTCGGGTAGATCCCCAATGTGTGACACCTTCTCTTTTGGAATCTTCCTGTTACTTGCTCATTTAACGCGTTGCCAATAGTAGCTTCATAATTTTCGGTGCGCAACATTTTGTAGCTCTAAATATTCACTACTGAAACATTTTCCGGACACTATACCGCCCATACGACTGTCCCATGAAGGAAGAGGATGAGCAGATTCGCAAGCGCTGCATCTCCGTTCTGTCGCTTTCTCTTATAAGGCGATGACAATCTTGCATAAGGGCGTCATTGAGACCATGAATAGAGATTTCGACCTGGAAATAACACAATAGCACGGCGGCAGGGCCGAGATGTCTGGACCGTATGCATGACCTATTCGCAAGACGGGTGGCCCCTGCGGACTTCCTTCGCATGAGCCTTGCAACGGAAGTAGCCGACCAGATCCGGTGGCCAAGTTTTTGCATTATTTCAGGAAAAAATAAGGTACAGGAGATTTGCAGAGGCCGACGATGATATGGCGAAGGGAGGAATTTCTCGCCACTGTCGTGGTTGAGAGCAAGTCGCTGCGGCAAGACCCGAAACCATTACACGTGACATGTCACGGTTCGAGTTGACCAGTTACCAGCCACCGGCAAGGCAAAGGATCAGTTCATGAGACTAGGCATGAGAACATTTCACTGTCCGAGATCACTTCGACTTCTTGTATTACTTCTACACCTACCAGCAAGTCTAAGGATGCGAACGAGCGAGACGAAAACAAGTAAGATAAGAGCCCAGCAGCTAGACCAACCAAGATTCCTAGTAAGCGTTATGTATGAACGTGAGTGAGCCACGATGCAATGGTGGTATGTATCATATGCAGGCAGGCGCAGAGAAATACGTTAGAAGGAGTGTGTGTATGTTCGTGAACAGAACGAGTAGGTAGATCGTCTGTTTGCGGCGACGCGCAGGAACATAGGTTGAGAAAATGAGATGCATACTGTATAGATAGGCATTCGCGAGATGGATGGATGGAAAGCGGTATAGAGCTATAGAGCAGAAGAGCGAGGAGTCCGAGACGACGCGACCAGCACGTGAGGATGAATCCATCAAGGAGGGCCTTGGCGAGGGGAAGAGAATAGCGAGAACATCTTCTCCGCGCCCTCCTTGTACTTCTTCAACTTCTTGGTCCTGTGCGGGTCGCGCTCCCTGTCCTCGCGGACGTCCGTCTCTGCACCATCCGAGGACATGCTGTTCTCCCCGCCAACGCTCATCGCCGACTCCTTGGACTTGAGCGAAGGTGACTCGGGAAGAGTCGCGGACGGGGACGGCGTCAGAGCACCCAAACTTGATACAGTCGAAGCGCCAGAAGTAGACTGCTGGAGCGCCGACCGCGACGTCGCGCTCGACCGAGTCGAGTACGCTGACGGCGGCGGCACCTTGGGCTTGAGGAACTGTTTCGTGCCCTTGCGGAATGACAGCGGCGTACGGCCACGGCTTCGCGTCGATGGGCTCGGCGAGCCACTATCCGAGGGCGGCGTAGTGACATCCGACTGCTGCGACATGCCAGACACCGAGCGCGACGTCGTCCCATTGGTACGCTGCTGAGACGGCGTAGGCGTCTTGCGGAAGACCTTGAGGCGATACCTGTCCACGACACCGCGCGCAAACAAGCTGGTGCCCTTCGCCCCATTGCGATCCACGCACTCGCCATCCACAGCCTCGACGAAATCCCAGTCGTCGTCTTCTTCGTCGGGACCTGCAGCCGGGCCCTCGTCGTAGTCGTCGGGGAGATCCTTGTCCAGCGCGGGAATGCCAGAACGCTCGCGCCTGTTGCGCGCGGCCGTACCGCGATAGCTCGATTGGCGCTTCTGGGTCTCCGCCTTCGTCGTAACGCGCGCCGTCTTGACCGGCTTGCCATCCTTCTCGGGCACCTCCGGCGCCGGCACGTCCTTGCTCGGGCGCGGCTTGGCCTCCGCCTCTGCACCGTTCGCCTCCGGCTTGGCGGGTGCGGTGTCGACAGGGGAGACGAGTGGCTTGTCCTGCGCCGGCTCCGACGGCTTCGCGACATCTGCCTGAGCCTGAGCCTCCTCGAGGTCCGGCACAGGCTCGGCGACCGTCGTAGGACGAGCTTCCGGCGTTTTGGGCTCCTCGACCTCCTCTGTCTGAGACTCGGAGCCTTGCTTCTCCTCCCGAAGCTTCTTTAGTGCCTCGTCGAGCTCCTCCTCTTCGTCTTCCTCCTCTTGCTCCTCCCCGCTCTCCTCTTCTTCCTCTTCCTCCTCGACATCGTCGTCCAGAAGAACCGAATGACGGCCCTTGAACGAGTATCCATCGAAAACATCCACGGACTCCTCGGCGTCCGTAGTGGAGGCTGGGCGCACCGAAGACGAAGACCGTGACTGAGAGGGCGTGTTGTTGTTCGAGCTCTCGTCATCGGTACGTTCGGCGTCCGTGCCGCTCTGCTCTTGATCTGTCTCGTCGACGTACTCGTCAAGAACAGGCTCCATGTCCAGGAAGGTGTCGTCGAAGTTCTGGGTATCACTTGCGTTGGATGGGTCGATGGGAGGAATATACGGGGCTATTAGCGAGCGTCAGCAGGGTCCATGGCATGACGGAGGATAGCACTTACGGATATAGCGTTTGTAATACACATGTCCCCAATCTATCATCGAGAAATAGGGATGTCGCTTGATTCTGGGTTCGCACAACCGCAATGCGGGGTTGCGTTGCAGGAGCTGCGAGTGTGCGTGAGCTACGGCAATAACAAGCAGGCAGGAGAAGTCGTACACCGCGAATCAAGCTCTTCGTATCGTGATCTATGGCCTTGTCGTCTGGGAACTGCAATTCGTCCTGCAGCACCCGTACATACATGTCGGAATGGTTGTTTGCCCAGAAGGGCGTCTAAGAAAGGGTGAGTAACAGATGGCCTCCAGCGGTATGAAGGACTCACGATGCCCGTCAGCATCTCGTAGAGCATAGTGCCGAAGCTCCACCAGTCGACCTCGTAGCTGTAAGGAAGACCTTGAATGACCTCCGGGGCCAAGTATTCCGCCGTTCCGCAGAACGTCGTGGTCGTCTCCTGCTGCCCAACACCCGGCGCCCAGGACAAGTCTTGGTCACCTTTCATCCACGGAGGAGATGCAGGAGGGATGAACTCGCCCCTGGTGCCATTGGGCGTGGACGGTGCCGTCGTCAATGTTCGCCGCTTCGGGAACTCCTTAGAGAGGCCGAAGTCCGTCAGAACGATGTGACCATCGCCACCAATGAGGATGTTCTCAGGCTTGAGGTCGCGGTAGATCACGCCGGCGGCGTGTAGGCCTTCGACGCCTTCGACGATCTCGGCAGCGTAGAAGCGCGCGCGGTCACGGCCGAGGCGTCCCCAGCGCGCCAGTTGAGTGGCGAGATCTCCGCCAGGGTGGAAGTCCTGAGCAACGAGCAACGAGTCAGTCTGGCAGAAGTAAGGTTAGACGGCGCGTCACGTACCATGACTAGGAAGAGGTTGTCCTTGTCATGGAAGCTCTGGTGTAGCTTGACGACGAACGGGTCCTTCGCCTGCGCAGCCATGCGAGCCAGGACGGCCTGCTCGGTGAGAGTATGCTGGAGTTCCTGATGAGCCAGAACATGTCGCTTTGTGATCGCCTTGAGCGCGTAGAGCGACGAAGTCTTCTTGTCGCGCACGAGAAGGACCTTGCCCGCGCAGCCCTTGCCCAGCACGCGCATCATCTCGAAGTCGTCGATGGTGACCTTGCGAGAAGGCTTCTTGTCCTTGCGCGGGTCGACAGAGAGCCCGCGCTTCTTCCGCGGCTTGCGATGCGTCGACTCCTCGTCGCCCGTCACGGACTCATCGCCCGTGACGGAGGACGCGGTGTCGTCGTGGCCACCGAATGCGCGAGACATGCGTTGATCAGGGTCCGCGGATTTGGCGCGGCGGATGCGCGAGAGCGGGCTCGTCTCGGTGGTGGGCGTAGCTGCAGCGTCTTCTTCTCCCGCGAGAGATGCCTCAGCGTCCTCCTTCTTCGGCACGGGGTGCGGTGTCTCGGCTTCGGGGGTAGGGGATGGCGGGAGAGGCGGTACAGAATCCTCCGGCTCGTCCCCCTCCTTAGGCACGGGTGCGGGCGTAGCGGGAGCGGGAGTGGGCTCCTCCTTAGCGCCGATCTCCTCTTTGACACTGGCCTTGTCGTTAACGGCATCGGCGACGGGGGCTGGAGCGGCCCCGGTGGGAGCCGACGTGTCCGTCACTTCGTGCTCGGCCTCTTCCTGAATATCGTCCTCGCGTTGCTCGACGTGGATGCTCATCTCCTCGATATCGTCTTCGCTCTCCGCATCGGCGTCCTGGCCGTTTGTGCGCCGACTGCTGGCGACGCTCGGGCGACGACGATCAGAGGGAGCGGAGGAAGAGTGCTTCTTGTCCTTTGAGCCCCCGTGGGCCGCAAGATCCGAGCGGACACGCTTGATCGCGCGCTCGACCCGCACGCTCTCCAGGTCGTCCATGCGCACGCGGATGAAGCGCTTCCACGGACGAGCCTGACGCATGTCGGGCATGTTGGATATGGTGGTGAGGTACGACGCCAGGGCGGTACTGAGGGTGGAGGGCGCAGCGGTGACGCCGGGCGCGTTCTGGTTCGTCGGGGAGAAGGCGAGGAACGGGTCGTTCTGCTCCGCGCTTGGTGACGCAAGAGGGCTGGCGACGGTGGAAGCGACGTTGGAGGCAACGGTGCTGGCGTTCTGGGAGCGCCTGGTCCGGTTCGTCGCGGGAGAGGCGAAGCGCGAGAGGGTGTTGAGGAAGGTTGACTTGCGCTTCGGCGGCGCGGGTATCTTCGAAGGGTCGAGCGGGAGAGCAGGGAGCTTGAGGCCGGGATGGCCCTCGCGGAGCTTCGTGTCGAGTTCGACGATCTCCATCAACGTGCGAGTGAGTGTGAGGTTATGTGTAGGCGCTGGGTTAGGTCGCGGTCAGGGTCAGGGTACACGAGCGCGGTCGCTACGCACTCTTGACGTATATACTGTATGCCGTCGCATCGTTGGGAGTCTCGGCAACACTGACGCTCCAAGGCGCATCTGGGTCGATGCGGATCGGCACCCGCTTCGTGGATGGCTGTCTTGAAGGCATGCTTGCTGGAGCTAGTACTGTCCTGGAGGCCGTTGTCGCGCACGGGACGGTGATCACTGGCTATAATACGCGTGATTCCAGCAGGAAATCAGGATTTGGGACCGCGGAAGTAAGGGCAAGCGTAGCCCGCGCGCGAGGATGTGGCGACAGCGAACGACACGAGGGAAAAAAGGGCAAAGAAGGCGTGTTGTACTGCAGGTCCGTGAAAGCGTGTTGTTCCACGGCCACGTTCCCGACCTCGAGGCGCGGGAAAATTGGGCTTCCCGTTGCGACTTCCTGGGCGCTCGCCGTCCTTCGTATGTCGACTTCGGCCTGCGCAGCAAATTACGAAGAAGGAATGGCGGTAGCGGTCTGACAGTCGTGGTTTTGAATGAGTTGTATATTTCCCGAAGCGGAAATAATGCAGCTCATTGTTGTCACGTGTATTCGTCAGCTTACGCATATAAAGTTCAACATTGGTTCAACGCCGATGCCGTACGTGCATGTCGCGCGCAACCTTGTCTATGGGAAGAGCATCTCCTTATGTGACTAATACGCGCAGCAGCCAAACGACATCCGGTGCGATAGTCGAGTCGAGCGCGTTTAGAGGCAACATACATTAGTGGCCGTGCGCCTCAAAATCTTCATCATGAGTATCACGAGTACACCGCTGGGTGTGTCATTTGGCAGAGTCGCCAGCTTCTCTCGTACGTCCATAGCCCCTCCGGCCAATCAGTGTCATGGCCGTAGCATGAGGGCATACGGAAGACATCGGAAATAAAGAGTACACGTACATCTGTCTTCTCTCAGGAAGAAATGTTTCTCTTTTCCGATACCGAAGGAGGTAATGTAGCACTCGTGTACTTCTCCGTGTGTCATCACCTGTGTACGGACGCGAACGTCAAGCTCGCTGGAAACATTGCATTCCTCCAATGGAACGGTGAGACGACAGATTCTCTCCAATACGCTCACCCAGGCCTTGCCGTCCGCGCCATCATGGAGGTTCAAGAATGCAGAGGGAGCGACCTGATAGAGTCAGAAGCACCTGAACAGCGCTAGCATTCGCAAATCAAGCGGTTCGAGGTAGAAGCCAGGTCAGAACACCCTATCAACCTCAAGGGCGATCTTCCATTCAATGGTATCACTGAGCGCGGCTTGCATATAGCTCGTGGTATTCATAAGCATAAGCGTCGAACAATAGAGGCGTCGGCTAGGAGGGAGTGGGCTCTGGTGCCATGACGGGACGGAATCAAGGTCGAATCAGCGTGGGAAACCGCCCATGTTGAATTTCGTTCTGATCCCGCGCGGGCCGCCGCGCTTCGGCTCTTGCCGTCATGCGGTTTCGGGCCACCGTCGAGAATGTCAGCTTGTTCTTTAGTGAGGAGACTGGTCGAGACGGTGAAGAAGTGCTACTAACGGTTGCACTATCATAGGACTCATTCAATCCATTGAGAAGCTACAGAAGAAATGCATCATCAGGTTCACGGAGGAGACTATGCACATCATCTGCAACCACGACGCGAACGAGGGCGGCATTCAAGTCTGGTCGTGCGTATTTCGATCCCCATAATCACTCAATCCGGTGATACTTTAGCTCCTACTTGCGATTAACGCTCACCGCCAGCCAAATCAAAGTCATCACCATCTTCACCTCCTACCGCATCCAGTCCAATGCCAACAACGAGATCACCATGGCCCTCGCTTCCGACGCCCTCCTCGCTACCCTGCGCTCTTGCACGACCCACGAATCCGACGACATTACCGTCAAGCTTGCAAAGAAGAACGAGCAGGCGGTGTTGAGTTTTGAAATCAGCGGCTTTTCGCGCGTCGGGCAGCGTGTACGGGTGGCGCATGATGTGCGCATAGAGGTACTCAAGCCAGCGGACGTGGAGAGGCTGGGGGAACCAATGTGCCCAGATCCGGATGTGAGTTGATTGCTCACTATCGTTCTGTCACGTACAAGGGTGCGAAATATAGGAACGGGCCTAACTCGAGCGCAGGCCCACATCCTGCTACCACCACTGCAGAAATTGCGCACGGTCGTCGAGCGCATGCGTATAATGTCCGACGTACTCGCCATAAGGGCGAACGGTAGCGGCTGCTTGCAGCTCGCCATTCACACGGACGACGTCAGTGTCGACACCGTCTGGAGGAATTGTACGAATCCAAAAATGCGTACGTCTTTCTCTGCCTTCGCTCTACTCTCCTAACCGATAGCAATATATAGCACGCGCGGATGCCTCCTCCCAGGACGACTCGGGTGATCGCGACCCGGAGCAGTACCACTCTGTCTTCGTCAACATCCGCAGCTTCATCAAATTCCTGAATGCGCACGTCGTCTCGAGCACGACCATGGCTTGTAAGTGCTATATATGCGCCTTCTTCTACTGGCATTTGCGCCTTCTCCGTTAGAGTATGCGGCTCTCGCCCCTGGCATATGCACCCCTCCGATGCGAATGGCTAACGACGCCCATAGGCATCTGCCAAAATCACTGCATGATCCTCTATGTCTACATCGGCGATGTCGCGACTACGGGAGGCGTCTTGACGTTCTATATACCGGCTATCATCGACGACGAAGACGGCTAACCCTTTCAAGACCTCTTTACTGCGCTCTATGGGAGCTCCGGTGATACTCATTGCTGATGTACCACTGTCTACTATCTCGCTGTGCTTACTGCTGTCGTCTGCTGCCATCGATGGACTCATTGCTCATTCTCGCTCATGTCCATGTCGGTGGCTCTCTGGGCGCCTATTCTTGTGAATACAGAAATCCTGGCGCTTTATCAATGCTTCTTGAAAGAATTCTTGTGCGAAACCGGCCGCGGATGCGTCGATTTGTACTAGAGGGGGCGCTTCCTCCCCTTCTAGTGACTCACTAATCCTAGTATCCGCGAGGCGCGCTGTATAAAGTGAGCAAAGAACGATGAGCAGGCAATTTCTTGTTCACAATGAGCGACCTCCCCCTCGCGTTCGAATGCGTCGAATGCGCTCTGACTTACTCATCTCGCGAGCAGCTGTTCTCGCACAATGTTCTCTATAAACATTACTTGTGCGGGATGTGTCTATCTGCTCAAGTCAGCGAGCTCTCCCTGAAATACGTGCGTATGACCTGCTTCTCCTCAGAGGGCCCCGTGCTCATCATCTCAAACTCCCAGCACAAGGCATCGCGTGTGCATGAAGCTCGCAAGTGGAAGTGCCCGCTCTGCACAAAGCGGAAGTTCAAGACGCCCTCTGCACTGGCCCAGCACCTCGAATCCGGCTTCCACCCAGGCGTGACGCGCTTCCACCTTGTCGCCGCCGCCCAGGCCCTCCCCACCGCCGCGCAAGTAGCCATCCGCCCAATGCCCGGCATCTACGCCGCCCCATCGCCCATGAAGCTCGTCGAAGCATCCGCCAAGCCGAGCAGCTGGACCGGCAGCGCCTACCAGTGCGAGAAGTGCCCGAAGGCCTTCCACACGCTCCTCGCGCTCGACCACCACCTCGCGTCGGCGGCGCACGACGAGGCGGAGCTGCGCTGTCCGGCATGTGCGGCGGAGTTCGCGCTCACGTCGGCCTTGGTACATCATCTGGAGAGCGGGTCTTGCGGGCTGGCGAGTTATGAGCGTATTCAGACGGAGGCGAGTGCCATTATCGGCGCTGTTACGCGCTTGCTGCAGGATGGAGAGGTTCCGGAGGGTGTAGTTGGCAAATTACTGGAGGCGTGAGGGCCTGCGCGAATCCACGGGCTCGCATGTTCGTCGTGGTTTACTTGCAGGGGTAGTTGAGGGTAAACACCCTCCGCTTGATACTCATTGACGATGAAGACCGGTTACTCTCTGCTTGCGCTCCACTACCTACTTGCTGCATATACTTCCCCTCGGACTTCTGCATTGTATTTCCAATAGCCACTGCTGTATCCTCACTTGCTCGAAATCAAGAATCCCTGTATTGCTGGACTCCATGAGTGGGCGCTTATCGCGCTCATCCAACTCGCCTATACGACGGTGATAGAAGGCGCTTACTGTACTTGTCGTCTGACCCAGCTCTCAAGAACCCGACCCTAATAGAAGACCGGACGTGCGAAATCTATCATAGGTCATGCTCGTCATGACCCTCCGACTGCGCCCCGCGATGGATGTATTTAACGGCAGCTGGAGGGTATCCCCCCATTGCACGCGACTGTCTCCTCGCTGTCGTACCTGGCAGTGACACCGGCAGTGATGACTTTCCAGTGCGAGGAGTGCCCTCATCAATGCGCCACGAAGGAGAAGCTGCGGCAGCATAATATTCAAAGGCATCATTACTACTGTGCTACTTGCAAGCTTTCCTTGGGTGATAAGCATGCGCTCAGATCTGTACGCGGTCCCGGTCGATGCTCCATGATATCCATGCTGGAATCCATTCAACAGCACAACAACTCCCTCGTACACGAGCCTCGTCAGTGGGCTTGCCCACTGTGCTCTACCAAGAAGAAGAAGCGGGGAAAGGGAAACTTCAAGACCCCATCCGCCCTCACCCAGCACCTCGAGTCCGGCATCCACGCCGGCGTCACCCGCTACCACATCATCGCCGCCACCCAAGCCCTCCAAACCCCAGCCCCCGTCGCCCTACACGCCACCCCAGGTATCTACTCCGCCCCCGCCCCCATGAAGGTCATCGGCGGCGTCGCCACCAAGGCCAGCAGCTGGACCGGCACCGCCTTCCAGTGCGACAAGTGCGAGAAGGCGTTCCGCACGCTCAGCGCCCTGAACCAGCACCTCGCGAGCGCGGTGCACGACGAGCTGGAGATGATCTGCCCGGGGTGCACGACGGAGTTTGCGCTCACGAGCGCGCTGGTGCGGCACTTGGAGAGCGGCGTCTGTGGCACGGCGACGTATGCGAGTGTGCAGGCGAATGCGCGGGCGCTGATTGATACGGTGTCGGGCTTGTTGAAGGGTTGAGAGCGGCGCGTGGGAGGACGGACGTGATATTCATGCAACAATGTATAATGATAATGTAGGATAATCTGCAGGGACGGAGCAGTACATCATCGAAACGGAGGGCCACCATTGACAAACCTCACCAAGGACTAGACGATACAACATACACATGCCCCAATATTCGTAGCACATAAAGGAACTGACCATGCACGAGCACTCATCCAAGCAGATTTCACGCTGCTAGCGAGCCCTTGTACCCGTCTCCGCGGCGAGCGGCCAGGATGCCTCGGATGAGAACAACGACGGTCGCGAAGGTGACCAAGATCCTGCATTCCTTGAGCAAAACGCGTGTAGCAGAGAATGGAAACATACCACATAATCCAGCAGAACGCCTCAAGGGCGTTCAGCTGCCCGCAGTAGACAAACAGCCTCTGCGTGTCGCAGTTTAACCCACCGCCCAGCATCTCCGTAACCGCCGCAGCCGCGGCGGTCCACATAATCCAGGTGAACGCGAGGCTATGAGACAGTTAGCAAGCGCAACGAGCATACACGACGCGTCACGTACAATACGATGTGCGAGAGCACGCTGACGAAGATCGACGTCGACATCGTGAAGAAGAGCACGGCATAGAGAATGGAGAAGACAACTGTCCAGCAGGAACAGAAGAGCACAAAGCGGACGCGATCGCGCTCGCTGACATTGCGATAGTTGTGGTACAAGTTGAAGCGGGATACAAGCCACGCGGAGATGGCGAGCTAGGGAATGGAAGTTGAGCGGGGATGCAGGGGAAGTATGGTGGATGATGCGCACCGTGATGATGCCGAAAAGCGTCAACAGCCCGAAGGTGACTGCAAACACGGTCAGCATCTCGCGTTTCTGCAAAAGGGGTAGCACGCACTGGGGTGCCCTCTGCGGATATGGTCGTCGATGGCCATGATTGTGGAATGGGGGGCTCGTCAGAGTCGTGCGTCGCGTACTGTTCGTTGATTCGTTCGTCCTGTTCGAGTTCGTCAACAACCCGCCAAAGCGGACGCGTCAAAGTCAGCTGCTTACGAGTCTCTGTGAGCTCGTCTGAGATGGGGGTCAGGAGCAAGGAGCAGCTAGACCAGCCGCGTTTATAGGCGGCGCTATAGGAGCAGAAACACGCCACCCGGAAGAAAAACGCGAAGACGTCATGCACGGGGAACGCGGCACGTGCCGATCGACGCCGGATCGCCGATGCGGCTGTGCCCATCGAGACCGCGTCGGTCAGCGCCAACTTCAAATCGGCGGGCAAGTCGTGCGCTCGAAGGGGATACTTGTGGTCCCATATGCAGAATTGGCCATGTCCAACCCAATATATATGCTCTAGAAGTGTCAGATAAATAGGTATAGTACAGTGGTATCCGGTGGTAGGTCCTCTTGAGCGATACAGACGGGGAGGTAATGACAGGTTCAAGTGGATGCGGGGGAGGAGTCTTGCGTCTGGGGAAGGCATACAGCAGAGCCAGGATACAGCTTGTCGCACTTGACCTTCGGATTCAACTCGAAGAACTTGTCAAGCGGTATACCGTGCGCGATGGAGATCTGGTAGCAGCTGTCGCCGGGCTCGACGATGTACTCCCTCTGGCCATTAGGGCATGAAGGGGTCTCATGAATATTGGGGGACAGGATGAACTTCCAGATGAAGAGAAGGAAGACGGCGATGATGAGGAAGAAGGGGAATAAGCTGCGGTACGCGTCGGTGTTCACGCCGTGTCCGCGAATTACGGGCTCGTTCTACGGGACTAGTCAGCGCGAGGGTGGCGGGTGGGCGATATGTACGTACCACGTCTGTTGCTAGCTGGGTATATCCATCAGAACGGCTTGGTAGACCTTGCTCGACGTCCTCATCTTCATCAGGGCTTCCCTGTGGGCCATCCGACACTGCATGAAGAGAATAAGCATCTCATCCTCCCGCGCACAATCATACACACACCTCGCGTCATCTCGCCATACTCCGCGCCCTCTGGTCCCTGCCAGATCGACCCGTCGCTGTCTCGGAACGTATACCTCTGCGTATCCGCATCATAGCCTATCCTCGTCATGCCCTCCGGTAGACGGTGTGAATCCTATTTCGCACAGAATTACACTTGAGCATCTCGCACGAATGTGGGGGAACTGACTTCGTCGTACTGCGACCAGCGAGCCATGGTGAACGTCGGGAGCGGAGCGTAGTTGCGCCACGTGCAGCGCAGCTTGGCGCACACCGGAAGGCGGACCGCAGACCGGGCGTGGAGTTTCGGCACTTGCCGTTGGCCATTGTTCTTGTCTGGGTTGTCTCCCACCGCCATCTTGAGAACGGTTGCGTTGGCTACTGCTTCGCGGATTCGGAGTATCCAAGCTCCTCACTTCTATGCTCACGAATATGTGAACAGAAGGTGGAAGACCTCCCCATTTTGGCACGCTATTGAAGCTCGTCTTGGTTGAATTTTCCATCTGCGGCCTCAATGATGCTCTTGGCCTCGACTTCCCCCGCATATATAAGGCAGTCCGCCACGAACTAGATGCATTACAACTGCCTCACTCCTTACATCCTTTCTCTCAGTTTCCTTAGCGCGCTAGACGCCTTTTCTCTCTCTCTAATCTGCAGGTCAGTGCACCGACACCGACGCCTTCGCAGAACCTTATCGGTCGAAACAGGACAGAATGCCGAAGCTCACTCGACAGAAGTCAGTTGACCGTTCTACGGCGAACCCACACGTAGGCGAGTAGTCGAACAATGCAGATCTCTTCACCTGCTCATCGATTTGCTCCAGGCCGTCGGGTCCCCGTGCGTCGTTGTTCAATCTACCAGCGAGTCCCGCTCTCGCAAGCCTTGGCGCAGGACGCCGAGCCAGGTAGTTGTCGCCGTTTGCTCTGGCTTCGCTCCACGCTCATTCATCGTCAGTGTCGGCGCGTGTCTCGCCCGTGCAAAGAGCCCGGGCAGAATTGAAAGGTAGCCATCATGATAATAACTCTTGAAACTCACTCATTATCCTCCGTAGACTACGAACACACGCCGTCGACATGCCACATTGCACAACTACCTCCCGAGCTACTATCCGCCATCTTCATGATGTGCGGCGATCCGAATATTTTGATGGGATTCCCTCGGGAAGACGTCGCCGGATACGCCTTTACCCACGAGAAAGGTCTGTCCTACGCCAGGTCAGCTATCATTCTCGGGCACGTTTGCCAGAGATGGTACGCCATCACCCGAGGAGACCCTCGTCTTTGGACGCTCGTCGACATCGCCGCACCCAAGAGGAGCGACCTATTCGTGCTCGACTTTTGCCTGCAACACTCCGGCTCGCTTCCGCTCTCCCTTGAGCTTGACTTGCTCGACCGTCCAAACGGTCTCCTTCGCAAGAAACTGGACACTGAAGGCGTCCTCGTGCCCTTGATGCGCATCGTGGCGATGAACGCGCGTCGCTGGGAGAGCATCTCGATGATCATAGCGACTGAGCATGGACTGATTGCTCCCTTGCTCAGCGTTTTCCCCGGAGGGTTCTCCTCGCTTCGGCGCGCGTCCGTCGAGGCGTACCCTGTCGGCTCATTTCTGGGTGATCCCATCGTGATGCTGCACGAATTGTTCTACACGTCGCCTCACTTACAGGCGATCAATTGGTGGACGAATCCTTCCGTGCTGGCCGCTAGCCAGTGCCGCATGGAGAACCTGTCGCAGATTGGCGTCCATCTGGAACACAACGCAACGGAGGTTCTCACAGTCCTCGAGCGCTGCACGCGGCTGCAGGTCTTGAGCGCCCGGTTTGACGATGTCAGCGGCTCAACCCCTCGCCTCCGTACGCGCAAAGTCGTGCACGCTCCTCATCTGCACACCCTGATGTTAGGATCTGAGAAATATGACTTTGGCTGGATGTACGACCACCTCGAGCTTCCTGGACTGAGGCGGCTCGATGTCACGCCTCTAACCTTCCATGGGAAGGACATCGAGCGCATGCTGACGCGGTCCGGCGCCCAGCTGCAGATGCTCAACTGGGTGCATCCGAAGATCGGGCATCTGGAGGACACCATTGGGCTACTTCACAGTCCGCCGTTGAACTCGCTGCGGGTTTTCCGATACCTGGCAAATCGGAACCGCAGGGATGAGGAGGCGTTTGCGGCGGTAGCGCAGGTCGTTCCACCGCATGTACGAGTATATACAGAGTGCTGTTACGAGGCAGAGGCTGCCTTTAGACAGCTACAGTAGATGTATCGTAGTCCTTGCTGTATCGTTGTAGCATAGTACAATTGTCCCATGCAGCTCAAGGCTGCTCTTTAACGAGTCCCACGTGCGACGCCTGACATCGGAGTGATTCCTTCGGCATTTGCCGTTCTTCTGTTTTCGTCCGTCATCTCGGAATCGTTTCTTGGCGTCAATCACTCTTCCTATGCTCTAGTATCAGGAAATTCACGTCGCTCGGACCATTCGACGGCACATGCAAGCTGGCGCTACCTTCCCTTTCTTCTGTCGGTCCGCAGGACTCGATTCGCTTCCGCCCATCCTTCGAGGCGCCCACATTCCGTGAGATTGCGGCCACCCGGTGTATGTAGCTCACAATACCGAGTTGCGTGGCATCTGTCGACTGGTAGGCCCGAGTGAAGGACAATACACGCATGACTGGACCTTCAGACAGGTCAACGCAGCTTTTCTCGCCGGCAGGTAAGAATAAGCCTTCGCCGCTGTTGTCTTCCTTGCAGGCCGTATGACAATCGAGCTGGCTCTTATTGTGCATGTAGCTATTGTCTGACAACTCTCTCACGCGGTATGCGGTAGGCTTATAAGCGATGGAACTACCAAGTGAACACCATCAACAAGCCGACTACACCACGACAGAGCTGCGCTCTACGTCTTGACGCCTCTCAAGTACTCGTGCACGCCTACGACACCCTCAACGATTAAGACCTCTCTAACCCTTCAACCCCGTCGTCCACGAAGTCATCATGTCTCTTGGTGCGCTCTTCTTTGGCGCATGGTCCACTCTACTGGATTGCTGATTATATTCTAGCGAATGCCCAGAATACGACACCCTCCTCTCCGGTTGGCCAGGCGTCAAGGATTCAAACTCGCACTACGCCGATCGATGTCCGGCGACGAGGCATATTCGGGCGAATCTTCAGCAGCATCCCCTTACGCCGCAATCTCACGCGTTCCCATCCCACTCACGACACCACGAATGCTCCTGCGAATAACGACCCTACGCTTGATGAAATAAGACAGCCTCCCAACGTCGTTCTCGACCAGATTCTGCATGCGATCGAGCAACAGACACGTGTGCAGGATCAAGGACTGAATCGTCTCACGGAGGCTATCATACAGGCCAGCTCATATCCCTCTGACGACGACGACGATCCCAATTCACCTGCTGCGCCTGGTTCCACCGAGGAGGCTGATGTCGATGGACCCAACGACGACGCTCAGTTCAGTGACACCTCTTACGGTCGACCTGCTCCTCCGACTCTCCGTGCGTCGACTCGAGAGCCACCGGCCACATCTGGTGCGGAACCATCTAGCACGGCTGGCGCGCCCGGCCGTGCAAGTGCTTCGCAGGCAGGCCCGTCGAATCACACGGCCCAGTCCAGCCTTAACTCGGGCGGTGGCGGCTCTCACGCGCCGGCCCCCCTTCTTGGCTGCACGGCGCAGAGTTCTGGGGCCCTTGACGATCCCAGGAGCCCGCATCTTTCGCGTGGCTACACTGCCGGTGGTAACGTGAATCCTCGTCTTGAGAGCAAACGTCGCAAGCGTCGGACCTTCATCGGGTACTCCGCTTCCTTGCCTAAAGACGGCGCATTCCATGGCAACAGGCTCAGCGTCTACGTCGGGACGAAGGATGAGTTGCGTAAGCTCTTTCGTGACGAAGATATACGGCCTTTCTGGGACGGCCTCGGCCTGCTACTCCCATTCTGCGAGGGTTACGCGCATGAATTAACTCAGCTTCACATATATATTTTTCAGCCATGCTTGAACGAGGACCTCACATACAAGCAAGATATGCTGGTACCCGTCCTGGATGCTTTGCGCCCCCGACTCCCCAACTTCCTCTCTGTGACCATATCCTTTTCGTGCGGGGATCAGGTATCGCAGGATCTCGGGTCTCTCACGCAGACTATTCGCGCGGCGTTCTTCGCCCTGCGTCACCTTCGCTTGGAGGGCTTCGCTAAACTGCCGCGGCTGTTTCTCTTCCCGGTCGAGGACCTCCGGGTTCTAGAGATTCTAAGTCAGACAGCGGTGGCAGAAGTGGACATGATTCAACTCATGGTATGGTGCAAGCAATTGGACTTCTTCCAAGTGCACAGCTTCGGCAACCCTGCCTCCGAGCGCACGTACTTTGCTCCAGATCCCAATCCGAGTGTTGCTTATCCGCATGTCATGCACTTCGTACACGATCATCTCAGTGATCTGTTCATCCAAAATATTCCTAACGACCGTATCGTCCACCTCACGGTCACAGACACGGCCGAGTACAGGCAGAAGGAGCTTTTATTTGGCGGCAATACGTTCTGGTCGTTGAAATGTGATGACTCGAACTGATTGGATGGCACAGTACGATCGTATTCGACAGCTTCAGTAGATTCAGTATTTAAGTCCGGGTTTCGATTATCTACTACATTACCGAGGCATCATTCCATACAATTCCTCTGCCTGCAACGCATTTGTTGTGTAGAACGAGACATGGCTCGGAATAAAAGGCTTGGGGTCAAACCTTGCTTCCCATTCTTCTATGAGACCTTCGAAGTAGCTCTCATAGAGCACGATCTGCAGATCCTCCATGAATGGTCCGCGTAGGAGAGCTACGGCATCCTCTGCCTGTCCAGTCACCAGCCAATGCATGCCAAACATCCGGAGGCGCGCGGATGATCTTCTGAGCATCCGCTGTATCGCAGAGCGGTAGATCTTCGTCTTCGACATCTCAAGACGTTGGAGCGCAGGAGCAATGACACAAGAAAGTAAGATGGACCAGTCGTATGACCCACACAGCAACAAGTCCCGCAAATGGGGTAGGTGGTATGATGGATGATCGTGAAAAGGATCGGCAGCGAATTGGTCGACGAAAATACTGATAACGAGGACTTCGAGATTGACGCACATGCTGAGAATGGGCGGGACCATGTCTGGCTTTGCATCGTGAAGCCCTACATGCGTAAGTTGGTGCAGGGGTGCGAGGGATATTCCCGCTCGGATGTATGCTGCACGTGTCCAGTCAACCACGCGTAGATGAGGCGAGCGCATGAACAAGCGCCACAGCGACATGTCTGTGCTTGATCCATGAGTCAAACAGAGCGCAATGTCAATGTGGGCTCTCTGGAGTGAGGAAAAACACTCTGGCGGTGTCGATAGCAAAGGCTCTAGGCTTTCAAGTGCTTTGAACAGCCTGATGGATATTTCCGTCCAGCGATGGGCGTTCGCGGCAACGAGGCGCATGAAGCGGTCATCGACAGGTCCAATACCCCAGCCGCATATTTGAAGCGCGAGAGGAAGGCCAGCGGAGAACTCCAGGCAGCGCTTCAGGGTAGCGAAGGCATCGCCGCTTGGGTATGCAACATCGACAATCGTCCATAAGATTGGGTGATTGCGCGTGATCACGCGCCATCGCCCGCAGACGCTCCCGAGAACTGTCGCGGCCTCGCTATAGAAGTCGCCGTCATAGTCTTGAAAGGTGCGGTCGTGCATGAGTTCATAGCACGGATAGATAGAGGCGGGGTTTGGGCCTCCGCAGATGAGAAAAATCGCGCAGAGAAGCTCGTTTGGTAGACGGTCAATGAAGCACTTGTCCGGCCTTTGTAAGAAGATTGGTGAATGGGCTTCGGCGTCCATCAAGGTGGAGCCAAGTTTCGAGAAGGAAGCGTATTCCCATTCGCGACCTGGAATATAATTCTGACGTCGCGTACGGCTTGCATGACGGGGGGACGTACCAGCGGGGAACAATTGCGCATCGCTACCCTGTCCGTCTCTGCCGAGAGCCATCTGAGGCGCGTTCATGCCCGCCGCCATACTGGGTGCAGGTCAGAAACAGTCGACTCGAATCCTGGAACGTCGCTCACCTTGCGCGATGATATTACTAGTCGCTAGCGACTTTGAGGAGAGGAAAGTGAGAGTGGAATGCGACAGGCGGCAGGCTTCTCGTCTCGAGCTTTCATACGGTGACGAGGGTCAAGTCCATTCAGGACTAACAAGTTAATTCTTGACGAGAGGAGAAAGCGTCCGTTGCGATACCGACCGGAAGCCCATCGAATGAATGCACGTGATCAGAGTTGAACTTCGGCATCAATGGCGCCGTCCAACGCAGCACATATAACACTCGAATAGCAGGCAACAATGGCAGAAGTGATGATAGATATAAATTGCGCAAATGATACGTGACGCACAGCTACGTGACATGGGCAACACGACGGACGCCGGAGGGACTGGAAGCCGAGCGTCGAAAAGCGATTCCCTACTTCTGAAGACGAGCAGAGCTACTGGGCAATGATTTGGGGCGCGAGGCGACGAAGGATGTTTCTGCTAGGCGCGTCTGTAGCTCGCGGATATAACGAGTCGTCACCGCGCTTGACTTGGACGGGGCCGGAGCCCTTGGCGCTTCGGCGTCATCCAGTGAAGCATGTCAGGGTCGTACGAGGCTCAGTGCACCGTGTCTTCGGATTCGCTATCACGCAGTATGGGATTATTTGTGAACAAAAGCGAGCGCGAACCGGATTCGATAGTCGAAATTGGCGGTGATAATGTTCGGAATGGCATCGCACAGTAGACGAGGTCCGCCTGGTCAAGCGTTGAAACTTCAATGAAAGTAGAGAGAGAAAAGTGATGAGTCATGCGGTCGATATGAACCAGAAGTGGGCTCGCGGTCGGGCGGCGACTGCGTCAATGACAGACTTGGGTGGCTGCTAGATATGGACGCGCGCCTCGTGATAGGGTGGAGATTCAGGTCCGTTCTCGAGTTCTTGACTTGGGGATGTTGTCTTTTGCGACATTTTGGCGGGGCTGGATCGCGGGGAGTTGCTCGTAGATGCGGCGGACCGGTTCATCAAGGTCGATCGTAGCAAGCTCGACGAGCTCGGCGTTCGCTGATATTCAAGCTTCAGCCGTAGCACTGATACTATACTATTCTCTGCGCAATATGAGATCAAGTACGCGTGTACGAGTCAGCGCACGCACCGGGGTCCATTCTCCCTTAGGTCGCCTTGGGCTCCATCCCCAATATCGTCTTCACTCGGCTAGGGCGCGAGAGCGCATCGCGCAGGTGAGGATCTGGACCCTGGAACGGAGGCATCGTCCTTGCCCTTGGGATCGTAGAGAAGCTCGTCAACCCATTTGCCAGTAGAGAAAGAGGTCAGTACGAAGTTTGACTGAGTCACGCGCAGCCAGCGCACAGCTCATGGCGTGCGGGTCGGCATTTACCGCTCCTTGTTTCCAACCGCCATCTCGAAATTGTTGCCCTGCCTGTCGTCGTGCTTCAAGATCAGGCAAACCTTGGCGCTCAAACCATCTAACGGCACATCGAAGATGACGCTACCCTCCCTATACTCCGTTGTGCCACAGGGCTGAAAGTCCTTGTTGCTTGGCGGCGATTCGAGGCGCCCACAATGCGTGGGATTGCGGCCAACTGCAGTTATTCGGAGACTGGCTGTACCGAACGAAGGTCAATGCACATGTGGCCGGATCCTCGGACAGGTCAGCACACTGTGAATACACTCCGGACGCCCTGTTGTCTTTCCTGCAGATTGCATAACAATCGAGTTGACCCTTATTGTGCATGCCGCTATTGTCTGACGGCTCTCTCACGCAGTATGAGGTATGCTTATAAGCGATGGCAAACTACTCAGTGAGCACCAATCAACGAATCTACTATACCACAACAGAGCTGCGCTCTACGTCTTGACGCCTTTGAAGTACTCGATCCACGCCCACGACTTTCTCCACGCTCAACATAACCATAGCTCTGCTACTCGTCGACCCTCACGAAGCTCCATATCATGTCTTCTCACGGTGCGTACTTGCCTGACACGCGTTGGCCATCAATCAGTCGCTGACCATATCCCAGCGAATGCCCCGAACGCGAAGCCCTCCTCGCCGGCTGGTCCGGCACGTACGGTTTTCTCTCGTACAACGCCGATTGATGTTCAACGACGAGGCGTATTCGGACGCCTGAAGAACCGCTTCCGAGTCGCCTTGCGCCCAAATCTCACGCGTTCCCGTTCCGCTCAAGTTCCCGATGCCACGAACGAAACGTCGATTTGCGACCACCATATTGCCATAGGCAATGACCTCGCGCATATTCGACTCGCTATTGAACAGCAGACTGGGATTCTTGAGCGAGGGATGGACCAGATTGCGTCAGCCATCCACTCGGCTAGTATTACGCTCGCTCTCAACAGGCGCGGAGGCGGAGATGACGACGATGGGGCGCCTCCGCCGCCCGGTGCACACCGCCAGGAAGAGAGCGATGATAGCGGGCCTGAGGACAGCAAGGACATCCCCGACCCCGCTGCTCACGAAGACGCAGACACGCCCCGAGCCGGTCCTCCCAGCGCTGCTTCTGCTCCTGACTCTGGTCCATCGGGCCACAAACGCGCGAATGACTCCCAGGTTGACGCCGGTATGCCTGGAGACGAATCGCACCCGCGACCGACACCTACTGCACAACCTCAGTCTAGTTCGGGTGCTACGCATCCTGCTGGTGATGCTCCCTTGCAGCACGTGCCGCCTCCTGTCGATGATCCCAGGAGCCCGCTCGTCGATCCCATTGCGTTACGGCACGGGAGTCTCAACGTCGACGTCGTTGAGAGCGTCCGGTCAGATGGCCCCGCCGCTCAAGCCTCTGCCGGTCCTCAGGCTACCTCCAGTGTCGATACCGCGCCAACTAACGCGCAGGCTGTGAACCACGGTGACACCTTTCCTGGGCTTGGGCTTTCCACTTTTGCGAGTCCTGGATCAAGTTCTGCAGCTCCTCCACTTGTTCCATCCGCACTCTTCCGAGCCGAACCAACCTCTTCTGCAAAGCAGGCCCGCGGCTTGCCCGAAGACGATGACGTCCTTATATCTTCCGACGTCGACCTCGCTCAGGCGGGTCTGTATTGTGGCGCCAGACTTTCCATCTACGTCGGGAGTAAGGAAGACCTGCGTAATGTGCGCACAAAGCCATCCGCATTCTACAGTGGTCTCTCAGAAATCTTGCCTCTGTGCGATACCTACGCACACCAGTTGAAGCAGCTCCGCATCGTCCTTTACAGAACGTCGCTAGAGCAGAACGAGACCTTCGTCGACGTGCTTGTAGAGATCCTGAAGTCTATGCATACTCGCCTAGCATGCTTCTTGTCTGCTCGCATCATATGCAAGAAGCGGGATTACGCACACTATCGCACTAGCAGCGACTTCGACAACCCCGAGATTCGGGACCTGTGCAAAGTCCTGCAGCACGTCCGACTCGAAGGAGACATCGCGGTCTGCCGCCTCGCGTTGTTGCCGCTTTCGGAGCTGCATTGCCTTGAAGTATCAACGGACAGTCCAGTTGCAGAGGTGGACGTCATGCACCTGATGACTCGCTGCCAAAAATTGTACTCCCTCTCTGTGCGGCGCATCGCTCGCCGTGTCCCGAGGGGCTTTGAAGGGAATCTCACGGAAAGCCTTCATGCCCCCTCTGTTCTTGATATCGCGTCCGACGACCTGAGCCCTGGCTTTCTGCACTGCGTTCAAAATACCCAGGACCTTAGGCTTACCGTTTCCGATGCGAGCCTGATCGACCAGTTCAAAGCGGTATTTGAGGCAAGGAAAATGTGGTCATTGACTTCAAGTTCGCTATGAACACTGTTGACATGTATTTACTTGTGCTTTCGGGAATCCAAGGCGGCAGGCTGGCGGTGGTGTTCTAGAATTACAGACATATGGAGTTAGTGCAGCGTAAACTATGGCGATCGGGCAGTCATCATCACGCAGTAGCCTTACATGTACAGAGACTCGTACGCTGCTTCGGCCACGGAATACTGCTCGGTGAAAACATCGACATGCGGTGGTACATAAGGGGTCATGTCGAATGTCTTGTCTCGGTTCGAGGGCATATAACCTCTTTGGCACACATACCGCAAAATCCGCAACGACAGTAAGGTTGGACTCCGTAGCAACGCGACTATGTTGTCCGCCTGCCTGGAGTGCAGCCGATAAAGGGTCAACATTCTGATACGCGCGGATGACCTCCTGATCATATCCTCGATCTCCTGTGGTTGGATTATGCCGCACGAGATGTCCAGTCGGACAAGAGCGGGCACAGTCACTTGCTTGAAGAGCGGTGAAGGTTTCGAGCTCGCGCCGCATAGCATCAAAGCGGTCAAGCGTGGAAGACAGACGGGATGGTGTGGGCTGTCGTTCTGCTCGTCTGGTCCGTAGTCATCGACATCGATCAAGAGGACTTCCAGATTGTCCAGACGCTGACTGAGTAAGGAAGAAATTTGGTCGGGCGAGGAAAGACGGACACCGAGACTGCTGAGCTGACCGAAGGGGGCCACCGCCAGGCCAGCGGAAACATATTGAGCCCGGGTTAAGTTCGCATGACGAAGATGAGGTGAGGTGAAGAGTGAGCGCCATAATTGAGTATCGGGACTGGAGGCATCAGTCTTTCCCCGAACAAAACATAGATGGGCTCTATCCAGAGAGGTGAATGAGCCAGGAGGTGGCGCAAGAAGGGGTTTCACATCCTGACAGTCCAGCAGATATACGGACAGCTCCTTCCATCGATTGGCATTAGCCGCGACGAGCGGCATGAAACGACTGTCCGGTCCTTTGCTGTCGTTGGCCAGAGGTATCGCATCACATATATGCAGCGCGATAGGGAGCCCGGCGGAATAGTTCAAGCAACAAATCAGCGTGTTAAGGCCCCCGCGTCCTGGATAGAGCACATCGGCGAGGGTCCACAACGCGGGATAGTTGCGCGTTACGACGAACCACCGGGAGCACACACGACCGAGCAGAACAGCCGTTCTGCTGTAGGGCCGAATCCTTTGGTGGTATACGTCAAGGTCATGCATGAACGTGTCGCGAGGGAAGCCAGAGACCAGGTTTGGATAACCGCAAAGAATGAAGATCGCGCATAGAAGCTCGTTGGGTAAGCGGTCAATGTAGCATGCGGGTCGACATGGCCGCAGCTCCGATGGATTGGACGACCGCGCTATGGCGATCATGAGTACAAGTATTCGAGAAGGAGAAACACGACTTACTAGATCGACCCTGCGAGCCGGGATACACCGCAGATTGGTTTGCAACGCTTGAACAACCACGAGCCTGCGCAGCGACCGAATAACCTGGGGAGCCATTGTGTTAGCTAAGGACGTGCAACGCTCGTATCGAATATACCGACCAGCCTCCGCTCCATTGTGCGTCTCTAAGATGGTGTGTCCAGCTTGCGAGAACGAAGTGTAGAGTGAACATTCACGACCTAGGTAACGATCGTTTAGATACAATTGAAAGCAGGTACGGGGAGACGCACGGGTCGCTGGGAGTCGTTCACTATCACCCCTTCCGTCGCGATTGACGTTTGTGTGACGCATGCCTCTGGTCATGGCTGGGATAGACTGCTGGTCAGTTGCGCGCAAAACATGTCGCAGGGTACGTGCTCACCTGGTGAAGATGGTACTTGGACGCCTGGAATACCTAGCGACGATGACGGCGACGAGTAAGGGGGGATGCGAAACGACTTCACATCTCCCGCTTTCATATAAAGAGGGGACATCGGCGTCGAAGTCCATTCACGACGGATAAGGTAATTTGGGACAAGAGGAGAAAGCGCCCATCGCGACGGCGACAGGAAGCACCCCATATATACACACGTGATATCGATCACCGTTGCACGCCCCAGATACATGACATTGACAGAGCCCTGTATCTGCTCAGATTGTATGTGAGTCCACTCTATACTCTATAAAGTGTGTCGTTTCCGAAAGCAATGGATAACCCACTCGCATATATTACCAGCACCTCAGTGTCCTCTTCGCAGCATCTTCCTCCTCCACCTTGTTCTCCCGCATCACCTTCAAGAACACGCTTTCTAGAGTCGCCTTCTCTACGGTGTATTCCGCGAAGTCGCCGGAAGAACCGAGAACGTGAAGCACGTCCGCAAGATGGGCACCCTCTTGAATTGGTATCTCGAAGCGCGTCGCAACGTCGTCCGCCTTGCGCGAGCCAGGTATACGACTCATGAGCGATTGGGCGTTCACGACGTCTTCCCTTGTCCTACACGTGAAGTGCACTTCGTAGCAAGCATATCGTGCTGAGAGCGAGTTGATCGTGCCAGATGCTGCATGCACAGTGAGTAGATTGGCAACGTTGATGACTCGCTGCCTTACCGAGCATGCGCTTGGCCAAGATGGAGACGTAGTCCGCCAGCGCAGAGGCCTCCTCCATGGAGTCTAGCGACTGTAAGTCCATGGACTTTGCCATGATGGAGAAGTGGGGACTCACGCGTCGTCAATACCACCGCTTTACCGGACACCACGCCTCTCAGGGTTTGCCACATATCTCTCTTCATCTTCGCGTCTACTCCTGTAGAGAACTCGTCGATGAGGATGACGGCGGGATTACCTGGTTGCTAGTTCAGTAACCTGAGACGAAATGACAATGAATGGTTTGGAAACCGTACCCATTAACGCAATAGCGAGCGCCAGCTTCCTCTGATTGCCACCAGACAACTTGCTCGCCAACCTATCCGCATACACATCCAGACGCGTGGCCCGAAGCAGCGTGTGTACATTGTCATCAAGCTCTTGACCGGGGGATAGCCCCTTCAGCCGACCGTATATGAGCAAGTGTTCTCGGACGCTGAGCTGCGTATCAATCGCCGTGAACTGAGGGCAGACGCCAAGGTTCAATCGTGCCCCTCGCGGATCGCGGACGATGGAGACACCCTTGATGGAAGCATCTCCTTCGTCGGGTATGATTTCTCCTCCTGGATGGACAGTCAGGCGCCAGGACGAAGAGAGTTGTCCAGGACTCACGGATGATGTTCAAAGTCGTTGTCTTTCCGCCTCCGTTGGCTCCCAGCAACGCAAGCACAGAGCTTCTAGGCACTTCGAGACTGACATTGTCGACGGCCTTCTTGTTGCCAAAGGTCTTGCTGACGCTGTCGACGCGAAGGAGCATGTCGCTCGAGGTACGTTCCACATCCATGCCCGCGGTCGAACCCTTCCTGCGCTTGAGAGCGTCCGAGCTGCGCCGCCAAACGGAACCCGAGTCGACCCATACCAGGACTGAGAACAGGACGAAGATGAAGCCGAAGAGGTAGACAATGGGGCCCCCATAGCGCGTGATGACGCCGAGCGATGAAGTTGTGACCGGCTCTGGCCCAGAGCAAAGCAGCGAGAACAGATTCACCGACACAAATGCGGCGCGCAGCTAAGCCTTGGAAGTGAGCAAGCCAAACGACCATCAGATTGGCAGTACTCACCACACTAGCGACGGGTGAAAGCAGAGAGATCGTGAAATGAATGGTCGTGACGATGTTGTCTGCCTCGGACGTCTTGCCGTATGTGAACGTAAGGAGATAACCTGCTAGGTATAGCTGCGATGCCCATGAGCGGTGTCCGATCATAGGGATGAAGGCGACGTACGACAAACATGATGACTTGATACCCTGCCGAGGCTGCAAAAGCGGCTAGCGGCGAAGCCACCATCAAGGACACACAGTACGAGAAAAGCGTCGCCGCTATTCCGTACAAAACCATGACAACTGTATGACGGTTAGGTGAGCTGTGCGCTCATTAGAAAGGAATGCATACCCCACTAAAGACATGGTCAGCTCGAAGCCCATGCAACACGCTAAGGAAGGACGTACGAAGAGTCCAACGCCAGCAAACTGCCCTGAAGTAGTAGCGAAGACGATTGCTATGATGCTGGACGCGATGATCGACCATATAGCATCGAAAGCAACGTGGCCGAGCCACAAGCCCACAGGATTCGACAGGCCATTCGAGAATTGCATAGCTTGCACAAGCGACCGACGCTCTTCTGCGACATACATGGCGAAAAACGCGGGATAGACTGCCTACGGAATAGTCAGCCTCATTCCGTATCAACGCTCGGGCGCTACTCACCATTGCCGCACCGAAGAAGGCTGCCCACTTGAGCGCGACCAGGGTGCCCGGCGCGATAGAAGGTAGCCTCTCATAGTTCGCGTTTATGACCGCCCCCGGAGCTCCATCTCCCGTCGAGTTCACTGCGTGCTGGAGAAGAACATTTGACGCTTGATTCAACAATTGTAGCCCCTTCAAGCCCGGTTCTGTTGCTTCCCACGCGAACAACGCCTCATACGCGTCTAGGCTCACGGACAGACCGCCAAGCGACATATTCCGGTAATTGTCCTGGATGGTGCTGACGAACGTATCGTTATCTGCCACGCCCTGGATAGGTAGCGCGATATTTCCCAGTAGCGCGCTAGCGACATCGGGCGGGTAGGTCAAGAGCCTTGCCTCCTGGTCAAAGAGCACCGTCGGAGATTCCGCCAAATAGAGCGGCTGTACTAGCGTGTTATTGCTAAAGTGGCGTTCGCAGGTCTGCTCTCGGTCGGCTATGAACACGATCGGGATCGTCGACCCGGCAATCGCGACGAGCGCAGCAAGGACCGGGGAAAGCCAGCTCCGGCGCGCGATGAGCATGCGCTTCCGGAAGATGGTGACCGCCTGTCGAAGAGGCGATACCGGGCGGCTGTTCGTGAGGTTGAGCGGTGCATTATGCCCGGGGTCGAGCGCATCCTTCTGCGTATCTTGCGAGAGCTTGTCGTCGTCCTTGGTCGCTGCCTCTTCTTCGCGCGTCATGAGGTTGAGGAAGATCTCCTCGATGGAGGTGCCGAGGACGTCGTAGGATGCGATGCCTAGCTTCTGCTTGCGCTCATCAAGCATGCGTACAACGCGCTCGACGACGGCCAGGTCCTTGTTATGCAAGCGGTATGCACTGTACCGCTGGGAGCGACTGAGCGATGTTTCGGGTGCGACCGCTCGAACCGCGCGCAAGACTTCGGACTCCATATGCGAGAGGCAGTCGCCCTTCTCGTCGTCCGTATCGAGGTCCTTCTTTTGCGTCGAGTCGAAGGTGGCGTGGATCGCGTATCCCTCTCCGAGCGTCTGCTTGAGGGCAACCGGTGGACCATGAGCAACAAGCTTTCCAGGAGCAGCCAAGATGGCGATCTCGTCCGCCAACAGGTCAGCTTCGTCAAGGAACTGTGTACTAGTCAGTAGCGGACTTCAACAGGTCGAAGATTCAGCTCACATGCGTTGTGTAGACGATAGTCCTCTCGTCTCTAAAGGTGGTCAAGGTGCGCCATATTGCTCGACGTGAGAGCGGATCAACGCCGGACGTGCACTACACGGACTATCAGTAGAAACTCAGTCACTACATGACCATGCGTACCTCGTCCACCAGGACGACTGGCAATCATTGTTAGCTCAAAGTAATGCTCAGTCCAAAGTGCCACTCACTTTTCGACCCACCAATCAGCCCCGCCGCGAGCTGCAGCTTCCGCTTCTGCCCACCAGAAAGGGTATCCGCATTCGCATGCACCTTCGCCGCAAGATCGCAGTCCCGCAGCAGTTGCTCGATCTCATCGTACTCTCCACCATCACCTTCCTCGCGCCCGTGCACGCCGCCTTGACTCTGCCTCGCCGCGCTCGCCCATTTGATGGCACGCCACACGCGGAGAGTTTGGTAGCACGTCAGCTCAGGAAAGAGGACGTTCTTCTGCGGGACGATGCCAAGAGTGCCCCGCGGCGGACGTGTAACGCCACCTTCGAAGGTGACAGTACCGCGCGAGCGGCCAGTGAGGCCTGCGAGGACGGAAAGGGCGGTAGATTTGCCGGCACTGAAAGAGATTAGCAAGGAGAGGAAGCAAAATCAGCATGTCAACGAACCCGTTCGAGCCAAGTAGGACAGTGATGCCACTCTTGGGGATATCCATCGTGAGGTCCTCAATGGCCGTGACATTGCCGCGAGAGCGCCCGAAGAGGTCCGTGTTGAAGGTCTTGCCTAGGTTGCGGATGGATATCGAGACGCCATCGGGTACAGTTGGGGTCTCGTAAGTGTTGTGATGGCGGCGATGGAACCACTTGAACTGGTCGTGGTCTCGTGCATTGTACACCAAGGCTTCGAGTCGGGTTGCGAGCCAGGGCCAGAGGATGATGTTGATCTATAGTCCTTTAGGAATTGATGAGCAACGGGGTAAGAGGTTAACTCACAATCGCCACTATGATCAAGGGCAGCAACCTCAAATCATTGTCCGGGTCTCCCTTTAAGACGTCCGTCGCCCACTCATGATTCTCCCACCCACAGATGGCCCGAATGGCGAAGATGTAAAAGGCCGGAGGAAAGATCAATGTGAAGATCGACGCCGCGCCCGTCGTCGCCTCCTTGAACACCAATGCGATGATCGCCAGCACGATACTGACGAACGTCGCCACTACCGCCGCGAGCTGGGGACTCCGGCCGAAGGGCGCAGCGACGAAGAGGCCGTAACTCGCGAGGGAGAGCCCGAGGAGGAGGTGCACAACGAAGATGAGGCCGGGGTTGGAGGCGGTGAAGATGCGGTAGCTCCAGACGAGGGAGACGATGATCCATGCTGGGAGGTAAAGGAGGGAGATGCTGACGTGCCAGGAGCTTGGAAGAGGGTCAGAGATGGAAGGAGGGCGAGTAAACAGGTAAAGACGTACAGGATGCGCGCGGCGTCGCCTAGACCCATGACTTGCATATGGGCGGTGATGAGGTTGGCGCGCTCGCCGGCGAAAGCGCCAGGTAGCTGGTACGCTATGCCAACATAGCAGACGAATCTGGAAGAGGTATGAATGAGATTGGACAGGAGATGTTGGGCGCACGCACAGTGCTAGAACGAGCAAATTCCTCAGACCGCGGATGTAACCTGATGATGGGATTGTCAGAGCTGATTGCTAATATAAAGGATTGCGACGCACTAAGTCTGAGCCTTGTGTCCTGCTCCTCATTTGTCTCCTGCGAGAAGGGCCATTCCAATGGGGCAGGGGCGTCCACATCGATAGTGAGCGCTATGACAGCCTGAAAGTATGAGCACGGGAGCTTGATGAAGAACGCTCGGCGTACCTGATCTATCGCCCACTGCAGCGGCATAAGGCGCTGCTCATAGTCGCTCTGCTGGTTCTGAACATCGATATGGTACAGTCCTCCATCCTGTGACGCCTCGGCCTTAGCCGACGCCACGTGCTCTGCCTTCACCCCTCGCGGGGGTATTTCCTTTGGAGTTCCTTGAGGTTCTCCTGGTTTCTTATGACTCGTATATATACTCCGTGACTAGTTATGACTACTTACAGCTGTAGGTATAAAAGGGCCCTCCTCCAAGGGAGGAGGGCAAGGTTTTCAATCGAGACTTCGTTACAGAGTAACCTCGTGGGAATCTTCTTCATCATCTCCGTGAGCCGAGCCCGGCCCGCTCTCCGCGTCACCGTACTCGCCTCATATTTTTACTCTCTCGCTCGACGTCCTCGATAGAAACATCGACTTCGACTTCGACAACCAGCAACCAGCAAAGTTTTCACTACCTACCCCTATTCCCCCCGCTAAGGCAACGGACTTGATCAACCCGGCACCCTTCGCGGCTTAATTACCCTTTCTTCCTTGTCGACAATCTCAATGGCGCCAAAAGCTCAACCTCTGCGCGACTCCAGCGGACGTTTCCGCCCTCGCGCAGCGTCGGTTGACACCGGTGAGTCTCAGACCGCGTGGCGTGGTACTGACGACTCCTTCACTAGTGCACTCTCGGACAACGAGTCCGACTCGGGTACGGCGGGCGCTCAAGATGCGCCGCCTGCCACCGCCGATGACCAGGTCATCGAGCATGCGACGGTGCAACACGACGTTGTGCCGTCGTCGGGTGCTTCCGCCACGACGGTGGGGGTATCCCGCCAGGTGTCTGCTCTCGACGGAGCAGACCCTGGAGAGGGCGAGTGGTCGGCCGATGCCGCTGCTCAGTCCCCGACCCACGCGCATGCCGCCGACGGCCTCGTGCCTGAAGCTGGTGCTCAGCCGCGTGCACCGGGTGCTGTGGGCAGTCGCGCTATCGCGCCAGAGTCCACGGAAGTAGATAATACTACGAATAAAATTTTCCCTCAGTATGATGAGAACAGCGAGCACGGGGCTCGCGAGTCCGAAAGCGTGAACGTACCTGAGAGCTCTATCCCCGGAAACAGTAGGGACCGGATGGATAAGGGTAAAGGCCCGGATCTACGCAATTTCGGTAATCTCGACTTCGACGAGGTCGAACACGATCCCGAGATTCAGCGGGACATCCTGGATGCCGCAAATCGAGCTCGGGGATCGCGGGCTCAAGTGCCCAATCAGGGGCCAAGGGTGTCTTTGGCAAATCTGGAACCCCGCGCCGCCGAAAACAAGCAGATCGCCGATCTGTTCGATGCACTCCACCTCAAGACTGTTGAGGCCGCGGACTACGCCGCCCTCAATGCCAAACTGGCGAGGCAGGTCAGCCAGCTCAGTGAGAGGTACGACAATCTCGTCGAACTCCTCACGGATGGGTCTGGCGCCGCACGCTCGCGCGCTGCGAGCGTCGCACGTGAGCGATCGGTGCCGAACGAAGTTCAACCGACACGTGACCTGAGCGCAATCAAGCGCGAGACCGCGGAGGCCTCTGTGCCCCCCGCGGTGCATCGTGAACGTCCTTCGAAGGCTTCTAGTCCCGAAGACAAGCTTCGTCCGAGCTATGTAGCTGGGGGCGAGTCCTACTGGGACAAGTACATGGCTATGATCAGAAGCCGTGTAGTCGGCCTTCCGAGCTCAGACTCGGATGACGACGGACAGTTTGACAGCGCGGGTAAGGCCAGCCGCCTTAAGCCGCAGCCTCCCGAGTCCTACGACGGCCGGGAGGACGATGAGGCCTTCTGGACCTTCGTCATTGATTCTCTTCAGTATGTCACTGATGGTCGAGTGGCAGCCACTCGGCAGGCCGACGTTGTCTCGCGTTGGCTCACTGGCAAGGCCAGAAGGTTCTACAAGCAGAACTACATGCTTAGTGCTTCTCGAAGCGCAAATCTAGACGACTTTTTCAGAGATTTATTCGATCACTGTTTCAGTCTAAACTACAAAGACAAATGTCGTACTCGGTACAAGTCCTGTATCCAAGACAATCGCGATCTCCGCGACTACATGCACGATCTAGAGCGCTTCTGGGTGGTGCTGACTGAGGAGACCAGCCGAAACCGGGTCTTGAAGTTTTGGGAAGGCCTTGACTCCTGGCTCGTGAAGCGCCTGATGGAGGACGGCTTCAGCAAAGAAGTTGATGAGTTAGAGCCTACGTACCGACGTGCTCTGCAGCTCTGGCAGGCTAGCTACGCTGCCCGAGCCCAAGCGAAGGGCAGGCGCCCTGACGACCATGGTGGATCGCCCCCCAACCGCGGAAGCGGCACGGGTGGCGCATCTGCATCGTCCCGACGTTCTGGAGGCGGGAGCTCTTCTGCTCCCTCCTCTAGGCCGCCAGCGAACGCGTCTGCTGCCGCTGGAACGCGCACCTCGAGCTCTAATGAACGCTCGAGGACCACTGGAGGTAAATTCAGCGGACAGGCAAGGGGGTCACAACGTACCTCCGCGCCGAATGGAAGGAGCGCGAACGGTCGCGCCCCTCCTAACCGCAAGCCAGGAAAATCTCCTGAGCTCCTGAAGCGCCTCCGTGAAGAGGGGCGCTGCTTCCGCTGTGAGTCTAAGGACCATATAAGCCGAAACTGTCCCGAAGCGAACCACGTACCTTCGACGTCTTCTGGACCTCCTGGTCTCGCGATTCACTCGGTGGCAATCGAACAGGCACGTCTGCTCGACCAGAGACGTGCTGGCATCACTAACACGACTACATTGTCAGTCAATATGGTTCAGTTCGAACCCTCGCACGACTCACCTGGGTCTAACCCGGACAGTACACGCTGCACGACGTGCTCACCGCCGTGGGCAACACACGTCCTCGCGGACTGTCCGCTTGTCTGTGGCGACGTTCCCGGACGCCCCCACCTCTACGTGCAGCCGCTCTTCGACTACTACACGCGAATTGCGCTGCGCACGAGGCGCGAGCCTCCCAAGTTTTGCTCGGGCGACGACTTGCTCGCCCTCTGCGAGACACCCGAGTATGCCGATTTTATCGGTCGCGCCTGCGACCCTTCATACGTTGGCGACTTGGGGCAGTGGCGGGTGCGTGGTGCGTTCGCGCTGAACGCCGTGCGCGCTTGGCCTGGCGACGGCGAGAAGCTGCGCGATGCGATGTTCCACAACCTCGCGCCGCTCTCGTATCTTTGCGATGGCGCGCCCGTCCGTTTCCTGCCAGTCCAGACCCAGGACGATTGTGTCTCCCTCTTCGAGACTGTTGAGGCCGAAGCTGGGCGTCGCGAACTGGCTCCGCTTCGCATCCCGAATGCGTTCTTCATCCGCGAAGGCTTCTCGATGGAGGACTACGTTGCGCGTCAGATATGCGTCGACTTCGGGATGGACACCTCACAGGCTCGTCGCATGGCGTACCTCTACTCCACGGGCACTACCCTCGGGGATCTCGTGCCCGAGAGCGTCGCTTACGCCCTCAACTGGGCAGTCAGACGCGTAGTCGGCGAGGAGCAGCGTCGCGCTGACCTCTCCCGCTTCTACGCCTTCCGGCCGTACTCTGGGTCGCCGGTCATCCTCGTGTGCGACACGCTCCTGGGCGTGTCGTGGGGTCTTCGTCTCAAGGACATTGACGCCGGTATCAACGTCTGGTACTGGTACATGTATCAGCGCATGCGCTACTTCGTGGGTGGGCATCAGAACACGGCTCACCCGAAGCGCTATATGTCGCGCTGGTTCGAGTCGCCTGCTGATGCCGCAGCGCGTCGAAGCTTCGACGTCTTCACGCAGCCCGACGGCGCGTTCCCCGCGCGTTGGTTTCGCGAGCCCGCGGAGGACCTGATTGAGTCCGGCGTGTTCGCACAGGCGTGGGCAACGATGGTGCGCATGGCGTCCAACGTGCCGGTACGTTTCCCAGCTTCGCGTCTTCCATGGCGTCAGCTGACGGTCTTCGCAGTATCGAAGGGGCGCTCCGCGCCGTTGGCGTCCTCGTCCGCACGCGTTGCGCAACGGACAGCCGTCTTCCCGCGGGGGAGCGGCCGCCGCATCCCGAGGCCCATCGTCCTCGTCGTTCGTGTAAGCGGGCATCCCTGCAAGGCGTTAGTAGACTCTGGTTCGTCAGTAGATCTCGTGAGCTCGGCTCTCGCTACTCAACTGCGCCTTCCGCTCATTGAGCACGATGGCCAGGTGTCCATGACGATGGCAGTGAGCGGGTCGCGCTCGAAATGTAATTTTCATACGTCTGTAGATTTTGAATGGTCAGCTATACACGAGCAGCGCGTCTTTGACGTCTTGAACCTCGCGACTTACGACGTCGTCCTCGGGACTCCGTTCCTGTACCAGCATTCCATCTCGTTCTCCATCAACCCGCCGAAGATCCTCATTGGGAGCGTTGAGGCGCTGCCGCTTGAGGGGCCACACGTCGACGACTTGTTCATGGCGAACGTAGAGCCCGAGCCTGGCTCGGACGAGTTAGAAGCTATTCGGAAGCATCTAGTCGAAATGGCCTTACCTTTGTGCAAGACCATCGCGGAGACTGAGCTCCCGCCCTTGCGTGCGATTAATCACACGATTCCCATCATAGACCCCGACCGTCGGTACCCGTTCCGTCGCTCGAATTGCCCTGCAATCTTTCGTGAGCAATGGAATGAGAAACGCGACGCATATATGCGCTCGGGGCGGTGGGAATTCACCACCGCCACGAACACGGTGCCCATGCTTCTCATCGCGAAGAATCAGCGCGAGAAGACGAAGCTACGTACTGTTGTAGACCTGCGCGAGCGCAACGACAACACGCGCAAGTTGTCGTCCCCGCTCCCCGACCAGAACGCGATCTTGCGTCGCGTCGCCGCTGCGAAATATTGGTCAATTCTCGACGGGAAAGACCACTATGAGCAAATACGTGTCTTACCTGAGTACGAAGACGTTAACATCATGGCGACGCCTGATGGTAACGTGAAGAGCAAGGTTATGCTCCAGGGCGACTGCAATGCTGTCGCGACGTGTCAGGCAATAATGACGCATATTTTTCGCCCTTACCTAGGTGTCTTCATGGACGTGTACCTTGACGATATTGTCATATACACGGACACGCTCGAAGAGCATGTTCGCGCTGTCAAAACCGTGCTTGAGGTGCTGGCGCGCGAGAAGTTCTATCTGGGTGTTAATAAGCTGCACTTCCTCGAGCCTGAAGTGCGCGTACTTGGGCGAATCGTTGATGCGAACGGCATTCGTGTCGATCCTGCCCGCGTTGACGAGGTCGCGAAGTGGCCGGTGCCTACGAACAAGAAGTTAGTTCGCGCATTTTGTGGCGCGG